ACCAAGCCAAGCTGAGCCAAGCCAAAGGCCGTTATCCATGAATCCTCCAATGTTAGAATGCTGATGAACACACTGACAAAACACCTATTTCCAGTGTTTTTTTTTTCAATGGAAAACCACCAGAAGGTTTCTAGGAGGTACTGGAGAAGGAAGCTGCGGAAGTTATTTTTTCTCTAATGAGGCAAATGCCAGAATAGATGAAACCAGAAGATTTCTTTCTAGAGGCCTGCGGGGGGGGGGGGGGGGATGGTGTAATGCAGTTGCATAAGACATTCAGAACACACTGGGAATGAAATCAGTGAGATTTGGACGCTGCATTTCGATATCGGAGCAGAGCAGTGTGCGCTTCCACTGAGCTCAGCATCAGACTGATTTTCTGTAAATTTCCTGGAAGTCTGAGGCTGCTTGGTAAAGTGCACTGAGAAGACAGTTCTGATTTCTGCAAATCTTCTTTGAGCAACATTGCTTTATAGGAAAACTGATGCGAACAATAAAGGAAAGTATTTGTTTGCACCATTCACGTCTTTCTGCGCTGTTATTGATAGGTCTCTTACTAAGGGAAAGCTCCGTGCTTCCGCATGTAGGCATTCCTCCTTGGAGTGCTGGAGTATTGAAATCTTCTCCCAAGTCACAGGAAAGATGGGAAAAAATAGAAAATAGTTTGACCTACATTCACAAGAAAAATTATTGAGTTTGCACATTCCAACCCATTTTTCAAAGTAAAGCAAGAGCAGATTAACTTCCATAAAAAGGAATAAAATAATAATCGTAATGAAAGAATACAAGGGAAAAAACTCATTTTATCTTTTGGACTTGTGTGAGCACTGCTGGGAACACAACTTCTGCCAGTTTGCCACTCACAAGCACAGGCTCAAGGAGGACCGCTCTCCTGGGAGCACGGAGAGCCAGAGATGCAGCAGCTGTGAATTGAGTGTTAGGATTACACCTAAAACCAATCAGCCTCAGAGCCACTTCTTGTCCCTGGGATTAACAGGGACAGGACAGTTGCATGGCATGGCTGTTGTGAGCAGTTTTTCCTTCTTGCTGCTATGTGTTACTAATGAGCTGGAAGCTGTGCATCATCACCACATCATTCTGGCACACTGCTCTTAATTCTTTCCGAATTCTGAAAAGAAATTCTTATTAAATATTTCTGGCTTTTTTTTTTCCTGCATAATAATGAACACCATGACTTGTAAAAATCTCAGACTATGATTAGGATTTCTTTTCTCTTAATATGGCTTCAAAAATACATTATTTTTTTCCTTAAAACTGACAGCCAGAAATTTCTGTTCTGCCCTTTTTTTCCTGCTATTTTCTGCCCTCTGTGAGATTAATCCATTAATTGCTCTCAGTTCCCTCCATTTCCTCATTCTGTTTCTCATTTATTGCTGTTTTGTTCTAATCACTGCCTTTGCCGCCGTGTCTGTGACAGATGGACTCTTCTGAGCAAGGCATTACAGCTCTCTGGTGGCTCAGTGTGGTCTCACCCTCCCCAGTTTGTGCCTTCCCACATGAGATCACTTTTGCCTTCCAGTTTCCTTCATCTTTGGAAGGCATCCTGGAGATGCTGAGATATTCTATGACCCCATGCCGACGTATTTCCCCGCAGATCCTTCAGAGCAGATTCTCGAACATTTCCCTTCTCAGCTTCTTTTTTTCTTCCTTTATTTCCTAGGATTCTGTGAGAGTCCCGGTTTTATGCACCTCCTTCCTAGAATCAGGGAACAAAGTGGTTCTGTTCTCCTCGTGGATCAGTGCATCAGTAGATATGTGTGTATTCCTGAGTGATTCAGGAATGGGAGGCACTGAAATGCCCACTGCGAACTGCAGCAAGAGGTGGATTGGTGAGCTGGGAAGCCGGCCTCCCGCCTTCACGTGTTTGTTTTCAGGAGCTGGAGCACGCGGAGCAAATTCTGCAGTGAGCGCCCAGCACTGAGGAAAAGCTTCTGGTCTGCTGGGGTGAAAGCAAGCTCCAGGAGAGCTGTTCTTCTAATGTTTGAAACAGCTCTTTCCAGAATCACCTCTGTCAGAAAATGGAGGAAATTCGTGGGTTTTATATTTTCTTTTCCCAGTTTTTATTTCTTTTCCTCTTTACAAATTCCATGAATGTTCAGGAAAGCTCAGAGAAGCTGGAGTTTGAGGCGCTGGAGACCAGATCACCGCGACACCGGGGAGTTTTGCATACAAGCGGATGTTGCTCTTCCCAAAAACAGCCACATGGTTCTGGAAATCCTTCCCCACAGGCTGAAAGAATCATTTCAGAGCTGTGTGGTTTGAATGGAGGAGTTCATACACTCGTGATGGGCAGACAGAGGGCATTGTTCACAGCTGTAAGAAGTGGTGGCTTTGCAGTGTGGTGCTGAACAATATGCAAAGGACTGGCATTAATTGGAGCTACTCAGCAGAGATGTGGACATAATTATTTAAAGGACTAACTTGCAACAGATGGACTTAGTCACACACAGCATAGCTATCTGAAGACCAAAAACGCAAATGCCCTGGAAGAGAACTAGCATTCTGAAGGGTGCCTTTGGCTGTTGGGTGGCAGGATGTTTCTTTTGATCTAAGGAGAGCCTAAAGAGAGTTAACTTCAACATTTCTTCTCTGAAATCTATTCCCTCTGTGCATGCCAAGATCAGCAGCCTAAGAAAGCAAGCAACAGGTCTGGATTTAGGTTGTATATGAGAAAAAAAATATTCTTCAAAAGAGTGGTGATGCTTTGGAGCAGACTGGCGAGGGAGCGGTGGAGAGGCTGTCCCTGCAGCCATCCTAGAGCAGTGGAGACAAGGTTAACGGGCACGGATGATGGGGTGACAGTTGGACAAGATGAACATAATGGCCTTTCCAACCTGAAGGATTCTGTGAGAAAACCAGTTTGATGGCAGTGATGGGTGCTGTGAGCAACAGCCACGGGACAGAGGCCTGCCTTGGGAGCCCTCGTGGGGTGATACAGATACAATGGGAGCTCAGCATTTTAGCTAGGACTTAACCAAGGCTATCAAAATAAGATCTATTTTTAGAACGATTTTTCTGTGCTTTGCATTAACCCAAGGACAATCCTGGGGACGCCCCATGGGCCGGGTCTCGTCACTGTTTGTGCTGCAACACAAGTAAGTCCCTTGATTTCTGCAGAACAACCTCCCACTTCTGCTTTTCCTTCCAGCCCACGGGATGCTATATTTAATCTTGGAGCTGTCTACCTTTTTTGCAGCCCAATCTGGGAGTCATGCTTCCCAGAAATCATGAAGTGGCATTCAAAATCATGAAGGTTCTTATGAAGCGTGGTTTGAATGCCTGCTCTCAGTCACTTGCTTACTGAGCATCTATAGGTCACAGGGCCAATTTGTAAGGTTTTATCTGCCAGAAAGAAAGCAAAATGGTGAAGTTCTGCAAACAAGAAGCCTATCTTTATCTTATAGGCTCATAAAAGTAACATTTGGCCTCTGTATCTCAAATGCATCATTACAAAAATCAGTTTATCTATCTCCTTGTTCAAGAAAGGTAAGCAAAGTTGCCCTCTGCCATCTGCTTTCTCCCCACTTTCAATGAAGAGTTAACCTACCAGGAAGTCAACACGAGCAAAATCACAGAGAAATGTGACTGTTATTGGGGAAATCGTGGTTTGCAGCAGCAGCCTCCTCATCTTATGTAATAGGAAGGCTGATTTCTTGAGAAGTTTGTTTTTTTTAACAGATCTGTCATCAGATGCAGGTTGCTTATTAATGCCTGCACAGACTGCAGCCACCTCTGTCTTCCCTTGATTCCTGCTGTCTTGGTTGCTTCCAGTGGTGCATCTCTATGCCCACTGACCTGTCCCCCCTGTTTTGTTGGTCTCTGTAATTCTGTACTTTGCACTTTTCTTATGGAAGTCTTATTTTCTTATTATCCTTTTAGTCAAAGACAGTCTTCTCTCCTGTTTGTGAGTAGTTCATGACATCTGTCAACTGGAATCTGCTTCACAGAAATAAAGAACCTATTTGAGCAGATCCAGGTGCCCATCCGTTCATCCGGGCCCCGAATTGCAGTACTGCTGGAAAAATAGGAAAGAATAGGAAATGTGGACAACTCAGTATAATGTCTAGTACAATTTCAGTATAGTAAGATGCTGTATTTCTCTAGGATTCTCATACGACTTCTTTCATTGGTAAGTCAGACTGATGGTTGGGGGATGATCTTGAAGGTCTCTTCCAGCCTAAACAATTCTGTGATCAAACACTGACACTTCTATGAGCAGAAAAGTCGAAACGGTTGCATTTTATTACGTGAGAAACTGATGTGTAGCTCTGGGTGACATCTGTTAGCATTACGTAGTAAAGCTGGGGCTCTTCACTCTTCACTGCAGTCCTGAAGGGGTCCTGAACTCAGTAAAACAACCCCATGCCCTCACACTGGGGAAGTGGAACCAAGCAGATTGGAGTGCCATGGGCTGGAGTCTCCCACACTTCAGCAAACCAGAGCATCTGCTGCACGTAGCAGAGCTGGTAATGCCTCGTTAAATGAAATGTGGGTGATAGCTCAAACGGCTGCATTCAAAGACCTGAAAATACACACTCATCATCTCTCAGTGGTTTTCCTCTGACAATCCATTCACCCTCGTAGTGACCCAAAATTTTTGCTGGTGTAGCTTTCCTCACTTTCAGTCAGCTTGTGACCTTGTCTATTCCTCTTCCTTTAGTTTTGGAAATGTCAGTGTCCATATTTTAAGATGCCTTAGGACCAACTTCCCCTTTGATAGTTCTTTCTGTACAATTTTCCATCCTTACTTCTTAAGAGTTTAGAAATAATTCCGCAACAACAACAAAAAATCCTAAAAAGCACATTCTGTTTGGCTTTAACAGCAATATTGGTGAATTCAGAGGGTAAAAAAAAAGCCACAAACAGAGGGTATTTGATCAGGTAACATGAAACTCTCATCATACAGAAATTGTATCATTTTGGCTGAACCTTAATACCTGTCTACAAGATCTCTGCGCATGGGAGTGTGAGGAGCAGCATGGGATCAGGTTTTTGTCTATGCACCTGTCTTGGGTATCCAAGTCTTCAGACCAGTCAAACTGTCAAAACAGTGAGCTGTGCTCCTTGTCAGTTCAGGCAGCATAGAAAGACTACAGGGTTGCTGTTTGCCTTTGATGGAAGAAAATTTGTGTGGTCAAAAGTCAAAGTTCAAACTGGGGGGCAATGAAAAGTGTTTCTTGAATACACCACCAACAAAAGCTGGACCAGTGATAATATTAGTTCATTGCTTGATGAGAATAGTCATCTCACAAACAAACACTGACAAATCAGAAACATTTAATGCCTTTTTTTGCCTTTGTCTTCAAAGCCAGTGATGGTCTCTGGCACCCCAGACTGACCGCAGTAGCGATCAACTCGTAGCCAACCTGGAACTGTGTGGGATTTTCTGCTCCACCTGGATGCACGTGAGTCCATGGGGCATCCATCCCAGAGTACACAGAGAGCTGGCTGATGTCACTGTGAGACCTCTTCCAATTATTTCACCATGGTCTTGGGAACGTGGAGCGGTCTCAGTTGACAGGAAGCTGGCAAATGTTGCAATTTTCAAGAAGAGCAAGAAAGAAGACCCTGGTAATTACAGGTGGGTATGGAATTCCAAGGTCACAGCCTGAACCAATATGTGAGCACGTAACTGCCTGGAGCAGGGGGCTGCAGCCACCCTTTCTGTCTCAGCGATGCTTCTGGGAGCAGCGTGCAGTCTGACTCTGTGCAGTCTGACTCTGTGCAGTCTGACTCTGTGCAGCTGCCCCTTGTGCCCCTTCCCCTGCCCTTCTCCTGCACCAGTACAAATGGGAGAAGGCTGCATTCCTCAGTTCGCCCCTTCCTCAAACTGTTACTGGGAGTGCTGAGTTCATTTCTCCTTGCTATTTTTTCCTACAGCACCTATTTCTCACATAAGGACTCTGTCACTGCCCTTGTTTGCTCTACACAGGCCTGTCTGTTTCAGTTCAGTTCCTGGTAAAACGATGGAGAAAATTATGCTGGGGTTACTGAAAAACACCTGAAGGACAATGCGTTCATTGGTCACAGACAATACGGGTTCATAAGGGGAAGGTCCTGTGAATTTCTTTTTATGTCAAGGTCACTCGTCTTGTTGAACAAGGGAAGCCAGTTTGATGTCACTTTTTTGTTTTCCAGTAAAGCTGTTTCTCACAGTATCCTTCTGGACAGCACCCAGCACAGTGCCAGACCCGGTGGGTCGGCCCAAAGAGTTGTAAGGGCTCACATCAGGTTGGTGGCTGGTCGCCAGCGAGTTTCCCAGGGCTCCATGTTAGGGGCAGTTCTCTTTAACATTTTGATTTGGGTGTTGGGGTAGAAGGTGTTTTGAGCAAGTTCACTAATGATACTGAACTGGGAGGAGCTGCTGACCGCTTTGAGGGTGGGGACTCCTTGCAGAGAGATCCAGGCAGACTGGAGAGTTGGCAATCACCAGCCACGTGAAGTTTAAGGAGAGAAACTGCAGGATTCTGGCTGTGGGGAGGGGCAATCCTGACTGAGCATATGCACTCGGATGGTTTCTGTCCCAATGGAGACCTGTGATGCCCACTGCCTGCCTGCCACAAAGCCAAAGAGAGGCTGTGGAACAGCAGAATGTCCTTTTGCACCCAAGCCATTCTATAATTGTATGATTCTAAGATTCCATGATTCTACAGTAATAAATTGAAAGTTGTATCTCATGTCTTCTAGCTGATCCTACATCCGTGTGTTTTATGTTAACTGTAATAAGTTCCACGTTCTTTTGCACAAGCTGTGAGCTACTGAGAGCTCGTCTAAGAAACCTGCAGGTGTGGGACTTCAGGACATGGCTCAGTGGGCAGTATTGGTGGAAGGAGGATGGTTGGACTAGGTGATCATAGAGGTCTTTTCCAACCTTAGAAGCTCTATGATTTTATGGTTTTCAGGACGTGCTTTGAGGTATGAAATAATGGGACCACAGTTACCTTCCGTGCAAAAATGCAATTCAGTAACCACGACTTTTTAAAAACAGAAAAATCACATTTTGTAAAGCTTGATTTGTCCTTTCACCCTCGTGGTTCCCTTCTAACTCAAGATGTTCTGATTCTGTGATTCTGTGAGGAGGAGGAGAAGAGGGACTGGCGCTTTTAACCCAGAACTGCCATGCAAGTGCTGACTTTGGCAGTTCCTCAGAGCATGACTTGAGATGAATCACCTCATCCTGTGTGCCACTTACCCCCATGCAAAGGGCAGCAGGAGATCTCTGTTCTCAAAATAGGAAGAAGCTGCTCTGCCCTCGTGATTCTCTGCAGGCGATCTGTGTCATCCCGTGCTCAATGACAGCAGCTCTGGTGTCAAGGAAGCTGATGCCTATAAACAGGAGAAGGCACATTATTATCTACACAACAGGACTGCAGGGGACCGTTCTTTGGCACTAAACATTTAAAGAGGAAAAAACCCTAAAGGTGACAATTTAGATCAAGAGAGCAGAGGGACGTTCTTCAGATCAGAACAGACCAGGTGCTTGCTACAGGGCAGAGCAATAAGGGTGCCAGATAGAAGGAACTGGATGTGAAGGACTGTGAACATATTTACAGCCATCTGGCATCCTCTAATTATCCAAAAGATAAGGCTGCCTGAGCGCTCACCAAAATGTGGAGAGGGAGGGAAGGCAGGAGTCTGTTTGGACAGAGGATCTTGAGTGCTTCATGCTTTCAACGTATGTTTTTTGGAAATGTTTTATATCACTTCCTAGATTATTTATATTATTGGAGATATACAAAAATGGTTCCAGAAGAACACGGAAAGGCTACTCCTGTATTTTTCCTTCCAGGTTTCTCAAAATCATGTCACAGAAAAGAACTGTTTCCTGGACAGCAGCATCAGCAATGAACCGGGGAAGAATCAAGAAAGCTCAGTTTCTTCCCGTGTTCCACTGATCTGGTGTTAGCTTTATCTGAAGCCTTGCAGGATCCAGTGGAAAATCTGCAGCACCCGGAATCGTGAAATTTAGGAAAAAAGTCCCAGGTTTTAAAACCGCAGAGGAAACATTTGAAAACAGTGTCATGGTGCTTACTCAGAAAGTAACAAGGAAACTGAAGTTTGTGTTCTTAAACACAGGCATTATGCCCTTCTTGGCCTTAATGATGGTTTTCTTTTTTTTGAATGTCTGGATTCACCACCATCATGGTTGTGTTACCTTTAAATTGCTTTCTTGTGCTTTCTTTCTGTGAAGCAACAGTTCTTTTGTTGGTTTTAGCACTGTCCAGCTAGGAGGACGTGAGTAAGACCTTCCAGCTCAACTCCTTGTTTACAACAAAGCTAAACTCTCCTGCATGCTGAGTTTTAATTTACTGCTCTGCAGAAACACAAGCAGGACTGCAGCCCTTGTACTGCAATGACAGTGCACCCCTTCTCCTGATAGGAATGAAAAATGAGAAGTGATCATTCATTGTGAGATCTTGAGTATGTTTTTGTCTCCTTTTTGATCTAGGACCCATCTTCAAGTCAAATGTAAAGGTTTAATAATGTTATGACCTCTGTAACATTTGCTGCTATGCCTTTTAAGATAAGAGTAATCAAACGTCATGCCTTGGGCTGTAACTGATCACAGTGAGTATCAAGCTGCCTCTTTATTTCGTCCTTCCATCAGGAGCTCAATGGCACTGAGCTGACCTGCGCTGCTCTCATTCAGCCAGGAACAGGAGTTTAATGACAAATTATTTGTTCTGTCGTGGTACAAAGTAAGATACTGGGTTTAATATGTGATATTTGTAGTTGCTTGCATACCACAGCAGATACCAAAGTTTCTGTCATGTGCCCTAAGCAATCTGGAGTCTTCTTTCTCAATGGCAGGACAAGCACACCTCTAACACAGTTACATATAATTGCGTGAAGCCAGGACAGCTGTTGCCATGGGTTTTAACCTCAGGCAACTTCTGCTTCTGCTCCCTGAAATGCAGTGCTGAGATGAACAAGTGATTTTAGCCACTTGTAAACATGCTCTGCCGAAACAAGAACTGAATCAGAATTCAACATGCAGAACAGAAATAAAAGATGATCATTAACTAAATGGTGCTCACCACCTCTAATTAGGAAGAGCAGGTCTGAGGACAGCACGTTACGGTTAGGGAAAAAAGCCATTTACTTTGGCAGGGAAACAAAAGATCTTCATGTTCAAATGTTTTGTATGAGCTGTCAAACCAAGGCTTCAGCACGCCTGTCATCAGGAAACTTGCAGTGGCACCAAGTGCAAGAACAGGCACCGCGAACGCCGTGTTCTGACAGCTTCCAATCACTGATTTCTTGCATTTTCTGCTTTTGATTCTTTCCTATACTTCATAAAATTGCTTTTCACCCTCCTGCCCGCGTGCTTTTCACATTCTTAGCGAGCCATAATCTCTACACAGCATTTTAAGTCTCACAGTGTGCTTGTCATTAAATCCATTTGTGCCGGATTCATTTTTAAATACATTTGTGTAGTTTGCAGGTACTACAGTGTAGCTGTATTCCCCCTCCCCCCCACCCCCCCTTCTTTTACAGTTTCTTTCTGGTCTACCAGCCTGTTTGCCTTCTCTTTTTTGGTCCTTTATGGGATACGCTGAAGTGCTGCACCAAAGCATCTTCACTTCCCCAATTTTGATTTGGTCTTTTCTACTCTTTTGCAAAACAAACAAAAGAAAACCAAACCACCAAACGAAAGCAAAAAAACCTTTTGATTCTACATTTGATTGAATTCTTTGCTTGTTTGTGTCCAAATGGCTTTAGTGCCACCTTTCAAATAAGAAACACCAGATACCAGGGTTGCTCTGAAAGTTATGCCTCCTATTTTGTTCTGTTGGCCCACAGCTTCAGAAGTAGAGGTTGGTGGTATGGCAACAAACAACGAACCTTCCCAATAATATTCCATCACATTTTGTTGCTCCATGAAACAGTGCCATTGTGTTCTTTGTATCCATTGTAGTTTCCATGGAAATGAACAGGAGGCATTACTTTTGAAGCGACCTACATAGCTTGTATTATTACTTACATTATGATCCCTTCTGTCATTTGTGTCCAAATGTGCCAGCAGTTCTGGTTTGCGAGCTGATCTTCACAATTTCATGTTGATGACGTCTGCCTCCATGTGTTGCCTCTTCTGCTGTACAAACATCAGAAACCTTTTGCTGTGAGGCTGCACAGCACTGCCCATGGCTCTGGGCTGCAGCCCAGATCCCACAGATCTGAAGTGGCTGAGAGCAGAGCCATGCTGCTGTGTTCTGGCTACCTGTATGAGTGCAACAAGCAGTTTCTTATGTAAACGCACTGCTCGCTCTGAAGTCCAACCTTTGCTTTCCAGGGAACTTGGATGATATATAAGCAAAGTTTTGGCAGTAATTTCACTTCACTCTTTGTCCTGCATGCAGCTTATGGGAAGGTGAATGAAAAGTTGTGTTGCTCTGCCCTCTTATGATGGTACCATATTTCCAGCTGTTTGTGACCAGGCATGTCCTGCCTGCAGTTCAGAGGCAGGCTTTTATGTTAACATACATGACAGGCATATGGATCCTAAGTGACTACATTTAACAGTATTGATTTCATATTGAGACACACATTTTTGTATCACCCACTTGTTTCCTGATAGGAAGGAGAAGAAGGAGATGGCAGGGAGCTGCCAGGTACGATAGGAAATGTTGTTGATGCTCAGAACACCTGATGGCTGCAAAGACAGACTGACAGCTCAGCGTGCGGCACTTTCTGACACAGGCCAATAATTAACCTGATTGCTTCAGTTGTGTTAGAGGTGAGTACATGCTGCCCCTTTTGATAATCAGAAAAATTTTCCTTACTGCATTCAGTTGTCATTCACTTCTAGCTTGGCATCCTCCTTCAAGGCACCTGCTGCTGCTTCGTGCTCCAAAGTAACACACAGCTCAGTTACTAAGCGTAATTTGTTCTAATTCTGCTCACAGACCCTGGAGAGGAGAAACACCTCCCAGAAACCATCAGTTCCTAAGCATGAGATTTGGTTACGTTATCTCAGCATGCGCATTCTGGCCCAGATTTTGAGCTGCAGCTGTGTTGTGCCACAGGGCCTGGCTCTTGCCTAATTTAGAGCAACGGCAGATTAGGGATCCTTACATTCACTATGGTACAACATTAGTCCAGCACAGCTCCGTTTTCCCAATAATTGGCTGCAGTAAGCTCAGAAGGAAGATGATAGGAAAGTGGCTGTCCATCAGCTGGGAAACTCCAGGGCAGATAGGAATACACCAGCGACTGGATCTGGTGAGATTACAGCTGCTTTATGCAATTAGAGAAGATAAGCTACAGGACTGGATCCTCCACTGCGACTTACTGAGGCTGTTCTGGCCCAAAGGATGCAACTAATTACTATTATTACTTATGTATTTAGGAAATCATCCACTAAATTGAGTAAATGCAATAGGATTGGAAGTGTGTTGTCTTGGATGATGTGTTACTATAAACTTTAAGCAAGCTGTGATAGGATCAGAATATTTGGGAAAGAAGAATGGATGAAAACAAACCCCCAAACCACAAATCCTGGGTATGAGACCAATTCCTACACGACCAGACCTATATTTCAACAACGAAAACTGTTTTGAAAATAAAGTGCTGCTGTAAAGCTTTTGGACGAGTAAAAGAAAACTTTTTTTGAAGTTTTCCTCGGAATCTGAATGATATCTGTGGGGAAAAAAAAAGAAAAAAAAAAGGTGTTAATTCGTGGTACATTTACTGCCATTTCAGTGTGCAACATGTGCTTAGGAGGAGGGCAGGTCAGCATTGCTGGGAAGGACAGCCCTAAAGGGTCAGCATTCCACCAATCCAAGAGTGGATTTTTACCATAAAGCACAGCTGGGAGCTTTATGGATTCCTTCAATGTAGAGCGGGGCTGTGCTGCACACAAAGCACTCCCAGACGGTACTGCAGGAGTAACGATCAGCACAGTGCCAAGAAAAGCTCTCGTCCTTCAAGGGCAAGTTAAATTGGAGAGAAGCGAAGCAATCGCAGTACTTTGTAGTCTTTCTACTTAGGCTACATTAAGTGATACCTCCTATGACCATCTCAGAAATTCAAAACATGTATGGGAGAACAGAAAGAACGCTCCCTACTTTTTACAGGGCGCCAAAACATTGTGCCAGTGGCCTCATTGTGTGTGAGCCCCAAGCGTGAGACTGACGACTAAATCTTTTGGACAGATTATTTGGAAGTGCAAACGAAGAAGCGAAGGCAAATTCCTTTTTTTTTTTTTTCTTTCTGTAAAAAATGTGGAGTACGAATTTCACAAAGCTGACGCACACCAGACAGTGTCGCACAAGATCTGCAGGCTGCTGCATGAATGAGGGCTTTCAGGCCCCGCACACTGCCCTGTTGTTCCCCAAGCTGTCCTTGCTGCTCACTAACACTCAGCTGGCAGGAGCAGAGGTTGCTGCACCAAGTGCCATTTGTGTGTCAGCTCAAAAAAAGTGGAACTCTCCTTACAGCTGTTCTCTTCAGCGCTTCCTACCCAGCACTGAGGATGAAGACACACGATATTCTGCTAAATTAAAAGCACGGAGTTTGATGAGCTCAGTTGTCAGGGTCAGCTCGTTCAGAATTCATCACACCTAGTTTGTGCATTCCGAAAACTTCTCCCCACCCTGAGCAAATGCTCCCAATTGAATCGAGCAGAAAGAAACATTTTTAGAACGCAGTTTTCTGCCACAGCTCCATAACAAAGGGGAAAATAACAACTTGTCATGGGCTGCTTCTGGCTGTTGCAAAGACAGGGATTATAGATAAACCACTGGAACAAGCAGAAACGTTGTACATTAAACCAAATCATTTATTAGATTCTCAACTAGAATTGTTGACGGAAACGTGCGCTATTTATTGGCTGCATTTTCAATCTCAGAATAGCAATTTTGATTAAATGAATGCAGCCAAAGCGTCCAGAGCGCACCGAAACGCGTCTCTTCAAAACGTCCTCTTGCCTCCTTTACAAACGGCTCGGTCCTCCGGCAGAGCTCCGTTGCCGCGTGGATGCTGCCCTCTGGCGCTCGTTACTCCAAGGGCCGGATCCCGCTGCCCGCCCGCCCGCAGACCTTCGGTGTCCCGAGCTGCATCGCTAAGAAATGCTGAAAGGAATCTCCAAAACCATGAGGAGATGTGGCATCAGGGAACTGCTGCATGTATGCATGTATGTATGATGTATGTGTGTATGATGTATGTATGTATGTACGTATGATGTATGCATGTATGATGTATGTATGTACGTATTATGTATATATGTATGATGTATGTATGTACGTACGTATGATGTATGTATGATGTATGTATTTATGATGCCTACTTTCTCTGCCTTCGCCACCCTTCCTATTCGCTGGGTTAAATGAGAAAATAAAGCTGCTGCAGCAGCACCACGCAGGTGCTTCCCAAGCGGCCAGAGCCTCGTTTCGCCGGCCCTGCACAGAGCTGTGCATGCCCTCCTTAGCAGAGGAGGCAGTGGTGTCTGAACAGGGAAAAAACAAACCGCTGGGAGGCTCAAATCTGCCAGACGAGGTCGCTCCGGAGCAAGATGCGGGAGGTTTTCCCCTTCAGCCTCGCCGGGGGTTTTCACGGATGGAGAAATGTAACGATCTTTATTCCGAGCGTCTCAGCATGAAGTTTTTTTTCTATCCTCCCAGAACACGGAATTATGTATTTTCTGATGGCCACTTTCCCCCAAAAGCATGAAAGAATGCATTTGTGACACTGGCTTCTGACGGTGTGACCAGCAGAGGACAGGACGGGCCCTGATTTGGGAATTTGCAATACACAGCTCTTAGTGTAGTTTTGAGTGCTCCTGACTTTGTTAGCTTCATCACTGCTCTCCATCACTGCAGTGATGCAAGACAGCTGCACACAGTCCATGTATTTGCAAGCGTCCATTGGTGCTCTGGTCAAAGAGAAGTGACTGGCTGCTGACACCTAAATAATTTGTCACTGCTGGAGCAGCTAATAGTCATGAAGAACTGGGGAAAAAATCCTGTAGCTGACTGTGCACTGCGAGTTCCTTCAGCTTTCTTCTTTTCAAATCACGCTGTATTGGAAACATCTGACAGACAGCAGCTTCCACATACATTCTAGAATAACAAAACCAGGTTATTGCTAAAGAAAATTGAGTCTTAATAAACAGATTTGCTTCCACTTTCGCAACTGTGATTTCTCTTAGCTTTGCTTACCTGATTCTGAATTCTGAGGGCGGGGGTGATGGTGCCTGCCCACGACAATGTGGGCACAGCATCCACAGAGGGACGCGGTGCTGCCCTGAGATGTGCTGGCCATACTGCAGCGCACTTAAAATGTAACGCCAAGGAGCCAGGCAGCACTGAAGCAACAGGAGAAGGCAATGGGAAACGCAAGGGAAATACATAAAGGAATTAAGGAGTTATCCTCCAAGAAGGTGACAAGGCCAGCTGCCAGCTGACATGCCTCTACATCAACGCTCACGGCATTTCATGGGAAACAAACAGGAAAGGCTGGAAGGCACCACGCTACTAAAAAACGATGACACAGTTGCTGTCACCAAAACCAGCTGGGGCTGATCAACCTGGAGAATAGAAGGCACCAGGGACACCTGAGAGCAGCCTTTCAGAATCTAAAGAGGAGCAGTAAGAAAGAAGGGATGGAGTCTTTAGCAGAGTCTGTTGTGACAGGACAAGGGAAAACGACTTCAAACCAAAAGAGGGGAGATTATAGGATATAAGGATATAAGGAAGAAGTTTTTTCATTAAGGGTAGCGAGGCACAAGTTGCCAGAGAGGTGGTGGATGCCACGTCCTTGGAGACATTCAAGGTCAGGCTGGACCAGGCTCTGAGCAACCTGACTGAGCTGTGGCTGTCCCTGTTCACTGCAGGGCATTGGACTAGATGACACTGAAACAGCCCTTTCGACTCAAACGATTCTATGATTCTACTGTGATTTGTCCATCAGTAATTCCATCAAGAGCGTGGGCAAATCTTCCTGAAATTAAAGATATATGTCTAAGAGTACTACTCCTCTAAACACTACTGCTAAGTAATGCTAAGTAATTTCAGCATTCAGAGGCAGATTCAGCACGACTGAAGCAGGCTCCTGGAATTGCAGAACAGAGCTCCAAGTCCTTTGCTAGCAGCAGATCACGAGCAGCACAGCCACGAGCACTGGGACTCCCAGCTCTCTCTTTCCTTACCTGGCCCTCAGAGGCTTGCTCAGCACACTGCATGCTGCTGCAGCCTCTTCCTTTCAGAGGTTAAAGAGAGCTGCTGCTGCTTTCCAGTTCTCCCTCATATAATCCCTCTTTTTAAAACGCTTTTAAAATTCTAATATATTCTGAAATACACGCACATACGCAGCAAAGAATATTTGCACTAACCTTTCACGTAGAAGTGATGTCTGACATCATGTACACACTTTGTACCATTAGAAATTCAGGTATACTAGAGAGAGGAAAAAGAAATATTGGGGCATTTGCCAAAGTTGCAAATAAAGCTTTTAAAAGACCTGCAGTGAAAGATATGCAGCAAGAATTTCCAAACTGTAACGGTAGTCTCAGTGGGTGGTTCATGTTACTATCTTCATGATTCTGCACTTTGTTCTAGGAAATAGTTTTGCTTTTCAATAGCTTGATGTTCCTGGAATTTCCCTTGCCGTGAAAATGTTGAATCTTAATGCAGAAATTACGCAGAAATTTAAGCCTACAGCTATTCAGAAATCCAGAGCAGAGATACATTAATATTCTTTCTCCTTCCATCCCTTCTCATTCCTACAAGGGCATGACTAGTCTGCTCAGATCTCTGCTTTGAATAAGGAGTAACTCTAGATGTCTGCAAAAAAAGAGAGGCTCTCTCAGGGAAAGCCTCTTATTAATCGTATTAAACACGTGGATGTCGGAGGTTTCAGTAACAACCAACCCTACAACCCCTGGCAATATGCATCAATTGAGATGGAAATACCCCTCATTATAGCACAAGATAAAATACTTTCATCTCACACAGTCTGCGCTTCAAAGAAAGCAAGCCCCAAACTTTTTTTTTGTTATCATTTTTTGTTACCTTTAACACCAAAAGCTGTAAGCATTTCAAGAGGTGCGATCTCAGGCTGCAGTGACACAAACCTCAGCACGAGCACTGGATCGACGCACACGAGCAGTGTGATCACACTCAACGTCTAGCATAGTGTGATTATTTACAGGGAAGACTTAAAGAATGGTATGGGCTCACCAGGCTCCCGAATCCCAGAAGCACAGCCACCCTTCCTTCCATCTCTTCCCATTCAGCCTGTTTCATTTTCATCTTGTTTTGCTGATAAATTCTTCTCGTTTGTTTGCAGCTGGTGACGGTTCGGCTGTTCTGCTTTGTGCAGAGTTGGGTCCATCAGAGAACTGGGAGTTGGTATGGAGAAATCAAGCACCTGTTTGCTTGTAAATGCTTATGAAAATCTCTTGTTATATATATACATATGTAAAAAAAAATCGTAAGTGTTGGTGTAGTGCATACATTTAAGGAGTTACACTTATTCACTAATTCTCTGACAAGAATTAACTGGGACTAACAGTTACTGAGATTCAAATGCAAAGAGAGGTTCCAGACGTTATGCAAAAAAAAAGGCTTTCCTGTAAGTGGAGAAAGACTTAGCAGTATACACTTTAAAATAATTAGAAGTACTAAGCTATAAATTTCTATTTTGAAACACACACATGGGTGCTGATTTTGTATAACCTGGACTCTTCTTTTGAGGTGCAAATGCACGTTAGTGCTGCGTAATCTTGTTTAACTGTGTGCACTGTGACAAAGCAAACTGCTTTGTGATGAGGAAAAGTTTCATAAGAGGAACTTTATTGGAACATAGGATGGCTTAGGCTGAAGGGAACCTTAGAGCCCATCCTTTCCAGCCCTGGCTGAGGGCCGGCTGCCCCCCAGCTCCGGCTGCCCAGGGCCCACCCATGGCCTCGGGCTCCTCCTGGACCATGGGCTCCTCCTGGACCGGGCGCCCGCAGCTCTCCAGGCAGCTCTGCCAGGGCTTCACTGCCCGCTCAGTGAAGAATTCCTTCCTAACACCTGACCTAAATCTCCCCCCTTTTAAATGAAAACCACCCCACCGTCCTATCGCTGCCAGGCTGTGTAAAAAGAGGGGGACTGACTTTGATCAGACTGATAAGGGGGAATGGCTTTAAAATAACAGAGGGGGGACTGAGGCGAGATGGTGGAAGAAATGCAGTCTTACAACATTTTGAAATGGGTTTGTGCTCACGAAGCACGTGTTAACTGCTGTCAAACGTGATCGACTGGAAGACAGCAAACAAAAGTGCATTTCAGTAGCATTTCAAAGCAGTAAGAAAGTTCAAATATTTAATGGTGTGATTTCACCAGGACAAGCAGCATCAGCAGGAGGAATACTGGTTCTTTCTAAACAAATGAGTGCTTTTCTCTCCTGGAAGCTGGGCGGCTTGGTGAAGCTGAACTTTTCCCCTGCACTTCGGAGCGAGGGTTTCTCTGTGATTCACGTTTAATCACAGATCCCACAGCAAAGCCCAGCTGCGCGCATTCTCCCTCACACAGGACGTCAGAAACATTATTCCCGTGTGCGCCTGGCCTGGACTCGGAAATACACTTTGCATTCTCCCACGGACACAGAGCTGGAGGAGCACGGCGGGTGACGGCACCGCTCCACCTCCGCCGTTACGGAACGGCCCTGAGGAAAACCGCGGCCGCCCCTCAAATCCTCCCCTGCCGCGCGCGGGGCCGGGTGGGAAGACGGGAGCGCGCGGATGGGCGGAACTGCGGCAAATCTCAGCCAATCAGAGGCGGGGTCACGGCTCGGCCCCTGCTGCCCGGAGCCAGGAAACCCCGTGGGTAACGGATTCCCGTTCTGCTGGGCCCCGCGCGCCCTAGGTCTGTGGGGAGGGGGGGCTGAGGCAGGGTGCTCCTCCCCGCTATGGGAAGAAAAGGGAGGGGCGTGGCTGGAATGGGGAGATTTTCACAGAATGGCCAGGGTTGGAAAGGAACCTGAAGGATCGGGAAGCCCCCCTGCCAGAGGCAGGGCCCCCCACCCCACTGATGGGGCCTGCCCAGGGCCCCATCCAGCCTGGCCTCCAACATCTCCAGGGATGGACGGGGAATTACAGCCTCTTCAGGCAGTTGTTCAGCCCCTCACCGCTCTCACAACACACAACTTCCCTGACCCCCAGCCTCCAGCTGCCCTCCCTCCTCTTCCAGCCATGCTCTCATCTCTGCTTTCCAAGAGCTGCCTCCCCTCCTGGCTGCAGGCTCCCTGCAGGCTGCAATGAGGTCACCCCGCAGCTTCTCCAGGCTGAACGAGCCCAGCTCCCTCAGACTGGCTTTTGAGCAGGCTGCAGCAGGCAGCTCTCCTTCCAGAACCGCTCCAGAGCATCAGCCCCCACCCAGCCAGTTTTCCCCAACTTGGAAGATGTGCCCACACAGCACTACGTTCCATGGAATCATAGGATGGTCAGGGCTGGGAGGGACCTTAGAGATCCAGTTCCAACACACAGAATCACAGATTGGCCCAGATTGGCAGGGACTCAAGGATCACACATCTCCAGCCCCCCACCACACACAGGGCCACCAACCTCCTCATTTAACAGCAGCCCAGGCTGCCCAGGGCCCCATCCAGCCTGGCCTTGAACACCTCCAGGGGCAGATGGGGCATCCATAGCCTCTGGGCAGCTGTGCTAGGCTTCACCACCCACTGAGTTAACAATTTCTAATTAAGATCTAACCTAAATTTCGTATTCTAGTTTAAAGCCACCCCTCCCCCCCCCCCCCCCCCCCCCCGTCCTGCCACTATCAAGCCACGTAAGAAGCCTGCCTCACTCCTGTTTAGATGCTCTCAAGTACTGACTGGAAGGCTGCAATCAGGACTCCAAGCTGAACAAACCCAACTCCCTCAACCCATCCTCACAGGAGAGGTGCTCTAGGCCTCAGATCATCTTTGTGGCCTCCTCTGGACCTGCTCCAAAAGCTCTGCATCCTTCCTGTACTGGGAACATCCTCTCTTTGCGAGAATGGCACATCTCAAGTTTAGTTAAAATCACCGTTATCCTCCAAAAGCACACTGGCCTTGCTCTGGTCAGCCCTCTTTGCCTTTGCTTTACTGGGCAAACTGGTGCACAAGGATCATGCAGCCGGTGTGGCTTCAGAGAGACAGGCAACTGCCCCCCTCACCCTTTCTGCCCAGAAAACAACCATCCATTAATCTGCTGATCACCCATCTAGTACAAGAAAAGCATGTTTAGTTACTAGCTTTTTCAAGTGTGCCCAGAGAATTCTTGCCAAGAATGCTGGACTAATCCAGATAAAATAAAATAAAGACAATGCAATGTCCACAGGAGGGGAAGAAAAAAAAAAAAAAAAAAGCACTATTCTTCAAAGAGCAGTCACTTATGCACACCAAGGCAGCTACTTCGAAGAGCTGGGGCTGTCAGACATCAAGTCGACACTATAAAGAACAAAATACAGACTGACTCGATTTTTCTTCAGATTCAGCCAAACTAACTTCACTCAAGTGGTGTGGATTTATAGAGAACACAAAGGCCTCCTCAGCTCCAATATTTCTATATTAAATCCATCTGGAAGCACTAAGTGAACTACCCAAACAGTGGTACAAACAGTTTGGGTTGTACATTGTGTCCTGCATCAACTACAACATTACCAGGAAATACAATACCACTAAATACAAAGTCTAACCCCAGAAGTTCTTCAGTAGCAAAAGGACACCAGGAAGACTTACCTCTAACTCCATTCCTGAAGGAACACAGCCTTCTCTTTGCAGACGTACTAAAAGAAGTAATTCAATACAGCAGTCTCAATTTATTTGAAATAATTCAGTTTGAAAACTCTTTAATTTAAAATTTACAGCACACGTAGGGAGGAAACATGTCTTGTTACAACTAAAAATTATCAGAAGAGTGCTGCAGGGTTGCTTAATTTAACACTGTCATGGCTTTATTCAAAACACAGTTGCACAAAATCAGTTACTCCAAAGTTTAAGGAAAGAGTCTGATAAGGAACCAAAACACACTATATACATACTGCCATACAAAGAGCATTGAAGTAGGACAAAACCTCTACAAAATATAAAACCCACCCTTACATATTTGCATGAAAAGTCCACCCACCAAGCAAAAAAGTTTCAAAAGTTATCTGGAGGCTCTGTATTATTTATTTTTAAAAAAATGCTATGCTGTTTAATTGCATGCCAAGCTGACAAATATGAAATGATGCTTAGATGGTAATGCTGAGGAAAAGACAGAATTACTCAGGAACTAAGGTTCGAGTTGACCTGCGGAAAATCAAAGTCCGTAACACCAGGAGGTCACAAAGCAGGCGCACCTCAATCAGCGCTGCGCAACGCTGGGTGCAGAGGGAGCGGCCTCTCCTCGCCTGCACACCATGAAGGGGCAGCTTAGGATATTTGTAGAGACACATGCAAGAACAAGAGGGGATATTACAGCCAATTCTAAGAAACCAGGCGCAGATTATTCCGATATTCCAATTAAATAGGAGGGGATATTACAGTTTCAAGAAGTTGTTACAATATTCTCCACCCCAGTTGCTGAGTTATGGTGACTTGCAGGTTCTATTTCTTGCTGCAGTGGCACAGTGTGAACCAGTAGGTGAGCACAAGAGCCTGGAGTGGTGAGAGGTAAGGCCGCATTCCTTGGCTCACCCCCCATCCCTCCCTGTCCAGTCTGTTTTGCCTTTGGTCACTCTGCACCCCCTCACCTAGCTCATAATTAATTACCAAGTTCATAATTCAGCTAAATGCTGCTTTGAAACAATTCTAAAGTAATATGTTCCACATCAGCATGAGGCTCAGATTTTGTAGACACAGCAGCTGATACACTGCACTGCAATTTGATTTAGGAAGTGTTCAGTCTGCATATCAAGGGAAAGTCTGCTTACCCCACCTAAGCTCATTTTGCTTTGTCACATTAACTCAGTGTTAAAATTAGACTGACTTACTGAAATGTGACTGGTACTGAAATAATTTTAATTCAGAATAGTAAACGTTCCCATTTAAAACTAATTTTATATGCATCAGTAAGAGACAGTTAAGGAAAACCCTGATAATGAAGTACTTTAAAAGTGCACGCTTACAAATAGCAATTTTCAGTCATCCACTGAGATTAAAAAAAAAAAAAACAACAAGGTGGAAAAACACTTTTCTATCTCAAAGCTGATCACAAAACAACTGCCTCGAACACAGAGCCTCCACGACAAGATAGGATGTGCACTTACCTAAGATTTCTATTCATTCAGTATTCATACACAAACACAGGAACTTAAGATTGTGGCTGCAAACGTAGTTTTACCACTACTTTTCTAGTGTCTTTACAGATATCCATGAAAAATTGCCAAAATTTTAGTCAGTTTATTTCCAGTCTATTGCCATCTGCCTGACTCATTTCATACAGACACCGTCAATGGCTGGCTATGCTTCACGGCTACATGAGAAACTGTAATTTAAGGCTCTATTTGGGGAAAAAAAAACAACACACAAGAAATTGGGCTTTGCAGAACAACTTCAACCCTGCAGTATCTAAACTTAAGAGCAGGAAGTCACATTTAAAAAGTCTGCTAGTGTGTGAAATACCCTATTAAATATTCACAAACAACCAGTCTATGGGTGACTGACTTTTACTTAGGTCCAGGAAATCTCCCTCCTCCCCACCCTCGTTGTCTCCCCCCTCTTAATGACAGCTACCATCAACCAAGACATACAAAAATAAGTCTCTTGAATAAAGCTGTGTGTGATATTTGGTTCAGTACCTACATGAAACAATGTAAATTAGTTTTATATCAAGACTACCGCTTTAAATCCAAATAATGACTGGAAAACGAATGCTGTATGTCTGAGCTTGCTTTGCTGTGGCTCAAATGGAACACATGAATCCACTGGGCAGAATTATTACGGCCTCTTGGTCACAACCAGGCTGCTAGAAGAGTCTGCACGCCTCCTGTACTGCCGCCAACCATAAGCAATGAACAAGGCTCTGCAGACATTCAGTGTAAAAGCCCGGAACGATCAGCTAGTGCTACACATGACCTGAACATTTTGCCTACAACCAGACTTAAAAAAATTTAAGAGGCGACCTGTAAGGAAAGACTCCCTTATGTGCATCTTTCCCTCTTTGATGATTTTATAAAAGCACGCGGGGTAATCTGGAAAGTGTGCTTGAAGGAGTTACCCGTCAACTTCTGCATTAGAAATGCATACATCTGATAGCCAAGCACAACGACTGCCGAATTCCCGAAGCGACAATGCAACAGCTAGATGAGTGAAAGTTCAAACACTTTGTAAACCAGTTTGGAACTAGAGATTAGTTACTTCTGTTCATACCTACAATGACTCTGTGTTTTGGAGAGAAGTTTGAGAATTACAGCCCTCTCAGTTTGCCACGATATCTTTGGGAATGTATCTTCAGCAAACACCCAACTTCTAAACAAGCAGGAAAAAAAAAATAATCTCCTGAAACCCATTTATGCTTTGCAATGTTAGCGTGCAAATCAGGGTAGAAGACTTTAAAAAGTTACAGGAGTCACCTTTACAAAAGCTGAAGCAAAGCACAACCTAGCTGTTGAATTCAAACAGAATCCCTGGTAAACTCAAGACTGCTGTCAACTCCTCATTTGAAACAGACTCAAATTTGCCACGTAGCATTTCTGAGTTCAACTTTTTAAGTATAAAAACCTGAAAATCTTGAAGGAAATTTATGATATTAAATCCATGTAAGATAGGTGTTTTAACTCTGGAGAAATGATGACCAACACAGCAAGCTTGTATAAAATTAAAGAGCTCCTAATAAAACTCTAAGGGAAAAACTAGACAATGGCTTCAGTGAATATATTGTTGAAAATCTTTTTTCTACATATAGGTTCACTAACAGGCTATTATATCTTATTTGGAATGATAAAAAGGGCAAGAATAGTAAAACCACACTTCTCCTATAAAAAGTTAACATTTTCTGTAGGGACATCTATGGTACATGGAGACATACAGATCTGCATAATCACTATTGCGTGTTCTGAAACTTAAGAATCTGGTCCTACGTCGTCTATAACAAATTAATCATCCTCTTCCTCGCCTTCGTCTTCAGGATCTCGTTTCCTCTTCTCCCCTCGAACACCCTCTGCTAAGGAAAAGATCTCATTACATCCCATTCACACACAGACGCTGTTAAAGCGTTCAGCAAACACAGTGGAACCGACTGCTGCACGAGGCTGATGTGCTGACCGCTGCGACGCGGGGTGCCCGCGGTTCTCAAAAAGATCATTTACCTTACTCTGAATAATTCAGGCAGGCTACATTCAACTAAATATAAACTAAGCATTACAGAACATTAAGCGAGATGCACCAGTGATAATATAAATATGTATATAAATGACTGTTAGCATGTACTTAAGAACTGAAGTATTTTTTCCACCTCTCTGAATTTTTGAAGGCGCATGCATCCAGCCCAAAACCCAGCAGTTTCTGCAGATACCAAATCAAATCTGTTCTGATCTCTCTCCACTTGACAAACTGTTTCTTGGATAAAAATCTCTCAGCTTATTCTTAGAAATACGCCCCGCTCAGTCAGTGGACTGTGCACTCTTGTGGTGGAATCACGAAATGCAATCCTGTCAAACCTAAGAGATTTAATTGCCAGCACTCATTTCCTGGCTAATTAGCCATCCTAACCACCTGCTTTGTTGTCTTTATAAATTCGAATGCTGCAATTGCAAATGGGAAGAATTGAGTATTGCTACTTCAGATTTCCAGTTTTTCAAGAGCAAGACACATCTCCAAAAACTGCTCCATTAAGCCAAGCATACAAATCAGATGGGCACTAACGTAACGAGAAAGTTTAGAAATTTAAACAAGAGAAGGAAAAGCCAGCTGACTTTCAGATGAGGCTTGATATATTTATTTTCGGAAGGAATTCAGCAACTGCTGGCTGGTAATAAGCTGGTGGTCCTACACGGTGCCCATCTCACCATGTGGAACACAGAGATGCGCACAGCTAGGCAACCCATCTCTCGTTCCACCAAGCAGAGTGCCTGATAAGAGCACGAGAAGCAGGAATTAGCCTTCTGTCAGCACTGCAACTTCTTTTCCTGTGCTCCAAAACAGACAAGGAGCTTCAAACTTAAGGCTGGTCCTGACCCTGAACGGTTTGCAAGCCTCAAACAAGGTGCAAGGAAGAATGAGTAACACATCTGTCCTGCTTATCTTCTGGCACTGAAAGATGAAATGGTTTGCACCCTAGAGTTTCCTCTTAGGTGAAAAGTTTCTGTAAGGAAGGAAGCCATTTTCATCTCGATAGAGGACTGCAGCCACTGGTCCTCCTGACGCTTTGCCAGTGAAGGTATTGCAGTGGCTGTGCACATACAAAGCATACAGAAGTGTCCATCCATCTCCTCTCCCTCTTGAAAAACAAGTATTTCTGCCTGCAGACAAAATGCAAGCTCTTTCATTTTAGAAACATACTTCAGCAGAAGTCTTGGAAAAGTGTCATTCCTCTCCTCTTTTTATTTTACAACAGAGGAGAAAAAACACCAGCTACTACAGAGTTGCTATGCTACCTTCTCAGGCCCTTGCTTGAGCTTAGTATGTCTACAGAAACCAGTCAGTGCTTTTTGTCAGCAAAGTTCCACATCCCAGACTTGTTAGGTTACAGAATAATAGTTTTAGTCAACATTAATACTTAAGCTGAGGACTTACCTTCTTCCTCCTCGTCACCTCCCTCTTCAACATAGTCATCATCATCATCTTCATCCTTTAAAAAAAATTGTGAAATATTTGTAAAGAATCGCAGCATACACAAACTTTGCTGAAATGCTGATCCTAAGAAGGAATTTAAAACATTTCACTCTCTTCAGAGCAGCAACACAAGTATGGAGTTACACTTGTAAGAGTGCAGAAGACAACAAAGCATGTGGTTAGAAGAACAAAATGCACATAAAAATGGAGTTCAGATGAAGATTTTCTGCACATCCCTGGGAAATGAAGCTGGTATGATGTCAACTCTTATCAGCAGTAACAGAAGTGACATCATTTTTGAAGTGACAGAATTTTAGATGTGAAACATGGGAGCTGCTTGCTACAGACTTGCTTACAAAATTTCACACATTCTCCAACTGAAAGTCTTGAAGTTGCCAAAGAGGAGGACCAAATTGTGCCTCCTGAGCCTGACTTCCGTGGACCACAGGAATTGCAAGAATCCATCCATAACCCTAAAAACCACGTGCATTTCCTTATTCTAGCTTAATATTCTCTACTTGCTTCATGGCAAAGTCTTACCTAGCAGGCCCTGGGACTGATTTTCATAGCTTTTCAACACCACCACCAGACAACACTCAAAAAAAGCGCAGCAGTATTTACGACAGCAAAAAGCAGACCTTCCTTCATCTCACCTGAAGCACCAGCAATGCGCTGTTGCTGCGTTCCTCTCTTTTAGAAGACCAACCTGACCTCTTCAGTTTTCCAAAATGAATTTATTCTACTTCACGTATCTAACTCGAGTGTTTAATTGGTAGTAGAGCATGGTTTCAAAACACTGGGCAAAACCAACTCTTTAATTTACAGGGAATAAAACGACGCTGGCATCCTGCAGCATGAAGGGGTGAGATGAAAGTGAAGCACGCCCAGCAGGTCAGCCAGAAGCACCTTCATAACTGACAGCCAGCACTGCCTATTTCAGTGAAAGCAGCACTCTAAGATAGCTCACTGCATCCAGCTGTGTTCACAACACTCGGTGCCTACAGATTTAAATGAACACAGAACTCTGTAGGCAGTTTCTCCCCATTGTCTGCATTTGGCAGAGAATACTAACTTCACCTTAACCTCTCTTTACCTGAATCTCTTCTTTCATCAGGTATGAAAGACCAACTTCCTCCTCCTCTTCACCTTCCCCAAGATCTGAGCCTCCATCATCTTCATCATCTTCTTCTTCATATTCTCCCGGGGGACCGGCTTCATCCTCATCTTCATCATTGTCATCTTCGTCTCCTTCAGAAAAGAAAAATGCACTTAATATGTTGCAATTAAGTTTCATTAACTTCTCTTCATGCAAACTAACATGTGCCAGGTTAAGCCAGTTCTAATGCTTCTTCCAGTTTTGTTTTTTTTTTTTAAATGCAGGTTCTGTGGGAAACAACTGTGATTGAAATCAAGTTAGCTGCTGTAACAATTTTCCTTGAAGAAAGGCTACTGACTTTTTTTACATCACAAGCTTCAGGCAAAATTCTGGATGTCTGAAGCAGCTGCATATGTAAATTCCTGCAAGGGAGTAGAAACTGTAACCAGGGGAAAAGCAGCTTGTCTGCAAAATCAAACCCCAAAGTACTTAAGGGTAAATATAATATATCGTGCTCGTTCTGCCTGTTTTTTAATCCCTTACACTGAAACACCTACTGTCCCAAAGAGATGATCTCTCATTGCTTTTCTGTCTGGAGCACACCACCATGTTCACGCTTCCAATTAAGTGAATTAGAAGAAATGATGAGGTGACTCTACAATTCATTTTCAAATTCATATTAATTTTCCTATGCATTTTCCACTATTGAGTTTAGTCTTACATTTATATTATAGACATTTGGCTCTCACCAAATTATTTTCTGCATGGATTTCCAGACTGTGACACGTGGTTACTACTGGGCACTGCTGACCCAGCACGTGGCAGTGGCAGCCACTAGCTAATGAATTAAAGCCAGAAGAAAGCACTGGAAGCCTCACCCATTAGAGGACATAACCCAAATTTAGCCAGTTATTTGGGCGCACACACACCACCACAACAAGAGCCCTATCCTGCTTGCTAACACTCAAATACATTTTGGATGTTTACTCCTAGCAGTTTTGCTTCTGATAATTACCCACTAAGCTAGGTTTCCAGAAGAACACGTGCTCCTCCTACCATCACATCAACACAGATTTGTAGCCACGCACTGACAGACCTACTCCTATGGGTTTCATTTCAGACTGATTAACAGCAATGAGGAAAACAACAGAAATAGCCTCATTAGTCACTGAGATCAGATCAAAAGGGTCTGTACAGCTTTTGTGCAGAAATTTGTGTCATACTTCAGCAATTCCCCTTCGTTTTGCGTTCTTTCCATAGGGAAACACCATAAAAGCTGTTGCCCCCTTGCTCTGCATCAGTTCTGCTAACTACATTACTGCTGGCAATAATATATTTTAGGAATATTGCTAATCTTTGCAACAACACCTTTACTCTGCTTCCTCACACTCAAAAGGCTTCCACAAGAGCTTAAAACCTTTGACGTGACTTTTCATTCTGAACCAGTGTGCTAACACCAAACAAATTCTAAATCTATACGCCTCAAAAATAAGAGCAGAGTACAATGCCAACGCACTCAAAAAGTCACCATGATCCACGCTACATGTACATTTCATTACAGTGCACTGTTTGCATCCACAGCTTATTCCAGGAACTCACCCTCATCATCATCATCTTCTGAGTCTGGTGCCTCGTTATCTTCCTGGTCAAATCCATCCAAGTATGTGATTTGCTGAAGCAGATCAAAAATGCTGTCCCTGTAATCCTCGAGGTTTGTAATCTCACAGTTGAACAGGTCAAGGCTCTTTAAGTTTTTAAGATTTTGCTGAAAACAAACAGAGTTTATTTTTCCCCCTCCGCTCGATACAACCAAATGGTGCCTCAAGTTACAGTGCTGTCATAGCCCAAATACAGCCAGATACAGATTTTATCCCCACTGCTTCATTCCTACTCACTATTTTATTCCCCACTCAGTAAAAACTTGAAGTGTTATTTGAACTTCTAATGGAATGCTCTTGCAGATCAACTGCACAGCACATCTGCAGCACGGCCAACACAACCACGCAGACAGGCAGCGTGCGCACACTGCGTGACACCTACATGAGGATGCTTTGTTGTTTGCAGAGCCTGGTTTGGTTCTCATAGCCATGCCCAAAAGCTCAGCTCCAGCAGCTTTTCAGCAGTTTGATTTAACTGCAAGCAGGCACTTGGTAGGACTGAGAACTACAGTAACAACTAGACAACTGATGATGATCTCCCACCTTCCAGACTTTACACACATGCAGAACAAGCCACCTGTATCCTGGCAAGCATCTCAGATCTGAAAAGCATTTATTCTGTAGAGCACTCCAACCACTTTGCTTTGTCTCATAACTGCTAGGTCAACCCACAATAAAGGCAGACTGATGACCTTTACAAAAGCTTAACAAAAATGCAGTCTGTAACAAATAATAACAAATAACAAATAATCCGTATGCTGGCACAATGAGATGCAGATCAAGCAGCAGCTGTAGGCAGCTTCCTCCTCCACCTCAACCACCCATTGCTCAGGTGTGCTCCCAACTGCTAAGACACAACCTAACTACTTCACAGGTTCAGTGAAAGCTTATATTTTGTCTAATGAGCAGCTGCCGTATCTTCACAAACCAACACAAGAGGATTAGCAATATGTAACTTGGCAACTTTTCTATCGAAGACACAACAGAAGCTCAACAGCTCTCACTCAGTACATCCCATCACTAACACAGAAGGAATTTTACAGTGCTGTCTTTACAAGAACTGCCTCTAAAAAGCACGACATGGAGCTAATCAAGTCAGGACCAACTGAATCACCAACAACCCTGAAACACCTGAGCCAGCAAAGGAAAAATAACAGATAGCATGTACAATAGATAAGAAATTTCATTTGGGGTGCCCTTAGTTGTGCTGAAAAGAAATAAAAGTAGCTAGAATATATCAGGTATCTTTGTACTTCATTTCTAACACTGCACTAGTCTAAACCCAATGTTGTTTCATCTTCCACACTTGACAAAATTTCTCATGTGAAATCCTCGTACCTGCTTCTACCATTCTACTGCAAAAACTTAATAAAAACCAGTACTTGTTACATTTAAACTTTCAGTTGCCCCTCTCATTCCATACTTACAAGAGCTTCCACAGTGCCAAGATCTTTGATTTTGTTGCCACTTAGATTTAGATATGTGAGATTTGGACATCTTTCTGCAAGGACCTCCAGGCCTCCGGAAATGATGTTGTCACTCAACTCCAACTATTGCACAGCAAAAGTAAAGGAATTAAAAGCTTGGTTTCTTACCATCAGATTCAGTAAGCACAGTTTTTAACTTAGAAGCTTAATCACAAAGTTGAACGCTTCCCACAGTGCTAGCTAGCTAATATTCAGCTTACAAAACGTTCCTTTAAACTGATCATTTTAGAAGTTCTCCTGAAAACATCATGGGCTTGGATATCTAAGCCTGTAGAACAGATAATATTGGAATTCACTGCACGTTTTTGATCAGCAAGCAATGTGTGCCAGTCCTGCACTGGCTGAGCAACCAAGCGCCTGCTACTGACCATCAGCTCTCAAAGACATGGCCAACATTCAGTAAGCAGACAAAGTACTCGCTGCTCCAGGTAGGAGCCATTGACTGAGACCAATTTGGCCAAAATTAGCTGGAGATGCCCACAAAACCTTCAAATGTTAATGCAGACCAGACCGCAGTGCCTGCAATCTCACAGCGATAATATGCGAATCCTTGAAGACTCAACCCTCCAGATTTCCTTTCCATCTGTGGATGTTGGACCAGACGACCTTTTAGGATCCCTTCCAACTTAAACTATTCTGTGATTCTATGAAATCCTGCTGTCTGGGCAGGTGAGACACGTACCTTTCGGAGCTTACTCAACGTGGGCAGCTTGGCCAGCGACGTCAGCTGCACATTGGCCATGCTAAGAAACTCTAGTTCCTTAAAGGAATCGTTCAGACCTTCAATCTCCCCATTGCTGGACTTGCAGTTATCGAGCACCAACTCTGTCACCTTCAAACAGGATATCAAGGCAGCTGAGTGAGCACCACTAAACCACGCGTTTAACCAAAACCGCAACTTGGTGACCGTTAAACGTGTTTCGGAGGGGTTGTCTGTTGGTGTTTTTTATAATTGAGACCAGAGTTGTGGTCTGAAGTCTACCAGCCTACACCAGCCTACACGAGAAGCATGTAACAACTTCTCCTCCACCGAGCACATTTTGGGCAGCTGCTTCCATAAAACACAAGTAGCAGCTTTGCTGACGGACGCTTGCAGGGCTTCCCACAGTGCCAGCACAGCACAGGTCAGAGCCCAGCTCCAGCACAGCACTGCTGGGAATGAAGGGAACCTCTCCATGGGGAACCTGCTCTGTTAAAGGTGAGCATCCCACCAGGCAGGTTCTTCACGTCAGCCAGGGCTAAAACTCATCCGTGGTTTTCCATACGAGTGAACCACTAACTCATTTATCAAATCCAATCATTCACTGCACATATTTATAAAGTCACTCCAATTCTTTCCAAATCCTAAATCTCCCAGCTCCTGATTATTTTAGCAGTGAGTTCTGCAAGTTAATTAAGCCCAACTGAACAACTTCCACTGCTACTAAAACAACAAGACAATCAATGCAGGGGAAGCAACAAGGAGCAGCTAATTAATTTAAAAATCACTTCATCCTCTGTGAACATATCCCTCATTAGAGAGGACATTAATAAGGCCACCGCTCCGTTTTCTTGTATGCTTCCAACTAACGTGATTACAAGGCTGCCGCTTCGTGCAGCAGCAGCACTCGACTCGCACAGCTTATCAACTTCGAGCAAAGTCTCAACATGGGTTTGTTTTCCATCCACAATAAGTAGAGCTGGGGGTCACCACGCCTCCAGTGCACATCTGCACCCAAAACAATGCAGCCCTTCTGTGACCCCTGCGGCTGAGCCGGGGCAGCACGTGCTGCTGGCTTGAACAAACAGCTCAGTGCACCTCTTCCACAATCCCTGCGCATCGGGCTGCTCTCTTCATGCACTACGATACCAAACCTGGACTTTAGTCCTGGGTGGGTCGATGGCGTCCTGGCTGACCTCGCTGCAGAGCATCCACGAGAGCGTGGGCAGATGGAATAGCGAGGCAGCGGGTGTAATTCACAGGATCACAGAATTGTAGGGGCCGACAGAGACCTCCAGACATCACCGCATCCAGCCCCCCTGCAAAGCGGGCCCCCTGCAGCAGGCTGCACAGGCAGGCGTCCAGGTGGGTCTGTGCTACCTCCAGAGAGGAACCCACAGCCTCCCGGGCACCCAACCAGAAGCCCGGCACTGCTGCCCAAAGCAGCATGGGTGCTCCATCCCCGGAGTTTCCAGAGGCTGTGGGGGACCCTGGGCAGCCTGAGCTGGCAGGGAGCGGCAAGTCCAGGGCAAGGAGTAGGAATAGGGGCCCGCGAGGTCCCCCCCCATCCCAACCGTGCTGCGATATTTAAGTTCCCATCAACCGAAGGCATTCTACGATTTCGCGATCTTCCCGCCCTGGGAACTCGGGGCTTCTTTTTAATATCGATAGCATTATTTAATGGAAGTTTCCCCGGAAAGGGGAAGCGGCGGGGAGGGAGGAGGCGGCGTAGCGCCGCTCGGGACATTCGCAACTCGCGGCGGGGCGGCGCCCCGGGACCTCCTTCAGCAGAGTGAGAAAACTAAAAGAGAAATTAAATCGAAACCACGACGCCAACGTAACGGCGGGACCCCGAGCTGCAGCTGAAGGCGGAACTCGGAGCGCCGCGACCTCGCGCGCAAGTTGCGAACCGAGCAGCGGGCGCGGGGATCCCGAAAGGGAAAAACCGAAAGCAATAAAAGCCTCGCGGCGAGCAGAGCGCGGCGCAAACCCCGCCCCGCCGCCAACTTCGAGGCCCCGCGGAACGGCGCGCAGCGCGGCCCGAAAGCGCCGCCCGACCCCGCGCGGCTCCTGCGCCACCGCTGTGACCCAGATTCGGCGGAGCCGCCGCGTCCGCGCCGCCCGGAGCCGGGGCGGAAGCGGGACGGGGCCGGCGGGAGCGCGGCTGTGCCCCGGTGCCGCTCACCTCCTCGGGGGCCTGGTTCCGCAACTCCAGGTTGATGCGCTTCTTCATCTCCATCGCCCCCCCCACCCGCGGCTCCGCACTGGCGAGGGAGGGCGGCCGGGGTGCGGCCGTGGGGACGCGGCCGCCGCCGACGGGAAGAGGGCGGTGTGCGCGGGGTCGCCGCGGGCTGCCGGCCCGCTCCGCGCGCAGCTCCGGCGCCGTCAATGGCCGCCCGCGCACTGCGCCTCCATGACATGGCGCATGGCGCCCCCTCCGCCGCCACGCCCCCCGCCCCGGGGCGGGGCTTCTCCGCGCCACCGCGCTTCTCATTGGCTGCGAAACGCAGCAGCCTAGGCGGTTTGATTGGTTGGTAACGCTGCCCGTCCCGGCTGCGCAGGTGAAGGGGGCGGAGCTGAAGTTGGCGCGCGCGCGGCGGACGGGAGCGGCGCTTGGGGGTTGTGTTGTGTTGTGTTGTGTTGTGTTGTGTTGTGTTGTGTTGTGTTGTGTTGTGTTGTGTTGTGTTGTGTTGTGTTGTGTTGTGTTGTGTTGTGTTGTGTTGTGTTGTGTTGTGTTGTGTTGTGTTGTGGTGTGGTGTGGTGTGGTGTGGTGTGGTGTGGTGTGGTGTGGTGTGGTGTGGTGTGGTGTGGTGTGGTGTGGTGTGGTGTGTGTTGTGTTGATGGCGGTTTTGCACGCTTGTGGCAGAGAAGGATAGATGGATGGATGGATGGGTGGGTGGATGGGTGGCACATGGGGCTCGCTACGTTTGCGTGCTTTGGGGATGGTGTGTGGGGCATCACGGATGTAAAAGGGGGGACAGTGCTCTGTTCTGTATGTGTTTGCAGGAGGGATGGTGTACAGCATCTTTTACGGCAGATTGCTAAGGAATAGTACATGGGGTTTTGCACATCTGCTGGAGGGAGGAATGATGCACAGCACTTTGCACAAGTGCTTGCAGGAGGGCTGATGCACGGGGCTTTCTGTGCGTGCTTGCAGGCAGGATGGTGTCCCAAGTGAAAAGCAGCTTCAGGGACAGAGCTGGAAGCAAGCAGCTTCACAGGCACTCTGTTGTACGTTGATATCCAATGCATGCTGGGGATGGGACAAACTCGGTTCTGCACGGCATTAGGATATGGGGTTTTGCTTGGTGTGCAGTGGTGGTACTGCGTGGGTTTTGCACATGCATGTGCAGTGGGGATGGTGTGTGGGATTTTGCATGCTTGTGAGGAGTAGGGATTGTGTCTGGGGCTTTGTGTGAGTGCATCATTGGGGATGTGGCATGTCATTCTGTGTGAATGTGTGTACAGATGGGTGGCATGCTGTGCTTTGCACACTTGCAAAACAGAGAGATGGTGCATGAGTTTCTGTGTGTGCATGTAGTTGTGTACAAGCAGCAGGGATGGCAGAGCTGCAGTGTGGCCTGGCTCCATTCCTTCAAGTGCTCAACAACCATCTGGGCTGGAGAACAGCGGGGACCCTGCGGCTCTTCCTGCTTTCTCCCCTGTGCAGATAATTACGAAGGTTTTCAAACCCATAAGGAAATCCTCCCTTTAAAGCTGCTTACCAGCGGGAGCCGTGCTGACTCGGGCAGGCAGAACCAGGGTTCAGCGCGCTCTGCGCGAGCGGCACGGAGGGGTAAAGCTGCAAAAGTCACCTGCAAACCTCGCACTGCGCTGCGACCCTGAGTGCCTCCGTGCGCCCCAGAGTGCTCCGAGGTCCACCTAGCACGCTCTGGGGCACCTCGGCCTCCTCCCAGATCTCCCATATGAGATCCACGGCGCAGATCCAGCCAGCCTGGAGCCTCCTAGGCTCCCGATGTTCCCCAGGACGCCCCAATCCGCTCCCGGAGCTTCTCTTTGCCTCTGCGTTGTCCCGGAGCCTCCCGGAAATTCTAACCTCAGCACTAAAATGGCCGACCGGAAATGGATACGGTCAGGACCGGAAGAATTGTCGGAGGGTGGAGAACGCCTCCACAACAAACATGGCCGCCAGGAAGTAACAAACGTCACAGCCGGCTTACTGGACCGGAAGTGAGGCGGCACAGGACTACAGCTCCCAGCATGCCTCGGGACACAGCCCTGTCTGAACCTATGGCATCCCGCGGGGTGTGCTGGGAGACAAGCGAGCCTCTTGGAGCTGCTCCGTACTCTGCAGGGCTCCCTGGAGGGCAACGCAGTGCGTTCAGTGCACTCCACATGTTTCTAAGTGAAACCTTGATGCCCCTAAGGTATTCCCATAGGTCTCCAAATAACCTGGAGTGTGCTCTAGGGAACTATGGAGTTCTTACAGGGCTCCTCGGTGTGCTCGAGTGTGCCTAGAGGGTGCTATGAGCCACCTAGTGCAGTCCAGGCTGAATTACAGCTCTCCCAGATCTCCGTGTCCTCTGGTGCGACTTAGAGGCTTTGCAGTGTGCTTTCAAGGGCCACACACTCAGCCTTATGGCCAGTCCTCATTCAGTAACACGCTTGCCTGTCCTCTGTACTATCAGGTGACAGATACAGGGTCAGAAGCCCATGCTTTCTTGATGACCCGACTGGCTAGAGAAGTGACAAAAGTTCTGGCGCCCTTTACTCACCTCTCTGCCTTTGTACGTCCTGCAGGGTTGCCTGGAAAGCAAGGTGGGGTCCCTGTTTCAGGGCTTACATTGGTGGAAATGTGTCCAAGCAACCATGTGAGTTTGCTGCACAGCCCTCGTACCCATCACGTGTCCTTTGGACAGCTGCCTCCAAACTGTGTGCTGGTCTTTAGCCCTAACATCACACCTAGACAAACTTCCTCAGCTTGGGTCCACCTACAGGATTAGAGTGAAGGGCAGCCATGGGAGGGATGAGCCCTCCCCTGGTGTCTGTGCATGTTTGGGGGCCTCTTCAGACCTCACAGAGATGGGAACAGGCCTCGGTCATCCTGATGCCCTGTAAAGTATCATCACGCCTATGGGGCCTAGAGGGAGGATTCCTTCGTACATGGAAGGGTTTGGGCTGGAAAGGACCTTTAAGATCACCCAGTGCCAACTCCCCTGCTATAAGCAGGGACACCTTCTGCTAGACCACATTGCTCAAAGCCCCATCCAGTCTGACCTGGAATGCTTCCAGGGAGGAGGAAGCATCCACAACCTCTCTGGGCAACCTCTTTCAGTGTGTCACCACCATCACAGTAAAGAATTTTCTTCCTAATATCGAGTCTAAGATTCATTCTAGTTTCTTCTTGCACCAGCAGCCAGGAAAATTTGCCCCAGAATTTCCAACAACTCTACACATACACGTGCACACAAACACATCATCTGAAATACGTATACAGATCTGATGTGAAACTCACCAGTGAACAAGATGTCCCCTGCAGCACCTACCCATGGGCATACACACGCTCTCTTGGATCCTTAAGATTGGGCCTAGGCTTTGGGTGCACCCAGGTGCCCTGCCTGGGATCTGAGTTATTACCCTTGTGGCAGCCACGACTCTGGATCTTTGCAGAGCCTGCTGTCTTCCTCCTCCTCCAGCCATCCCCACCTTGGCCAGCAAAGCATGCAGACATGCAGCCCAAAGACACACAAGAGTGAGTGTTATCTGAAACACCATTATCTACATTTTCAAGTTCTGAGATCCTAAACTTGCTGTGGAGAGCCTGGAAGCTCTGAGCTCTCTCACTCGACCCCACATTGTGGATGTTGAAGTTGGAATTATCAGTCAGAGTCTTAGTTTTGATGTCATCTACCCGCAAAGCCTTTGACGTGGTCCCTCCCCACATCCTTCTCTCTAAATTGGAGAGGTGTGGATTTGAAGGATGGACTGCTCAGTGGATTAAGAACTGGTTGGCTGGTCCCAGCAAAGGGTTGTGATCAATGGTTTGTGTCCGGGTGGAGGCCGCTCACAAGCGGTGTCCCTCAGGGGTCGGTCTTGGGACCGGTGCTCTTCAACATCTTCATCAGTGACAGACGATGGCATCAAGGGCACCTCAGCAAGTTTGCAGATGGCACCAAGCTGAGCGGTGCAGTTGATACATTGGAAGGAAGGGAAGCCATCCAGAGGGAGCTGGACAGGCTGGAGAAGGGGGCCCATGAAAACATAATGAGGTTCAATAAGGCCAAGTGCAGGGTGCTACACTGGGTCGGGGCAATGCCAGGTATTTATACAAACTGGGGGAAGGTCTCCTGGAGAGCAGCCCTGCAGAGAAGGACTTGGGGGTCCTGGTGGACGAGAAGCTGGACATGAGCCAGCAGCGTGATTGCGGCCTGGAAGGCCAGCTGTGTTCTGGGCTGCATTAAAAATGGGGCGGCCAGCAGGAGAGGGAGGTGATCGTCCCCTGATTAGAAACTGGGCGATAGAAACTAGGCGTGCGTGTGAAGAGAGTGAAGGTGGGCACTGATGCTGGATCCAGGAGGTCCCCTGTTCTGCTACTGAGCTGGCCAAATTCCAGAAGGATTTTGGTCACACCCATAGGAAATCAGAGACAGAGTATGAATGGAAAATGCCACTAATGGGGAGAACAGATCCTGTTAACTGAAAAGGAATCGGAGGGGTTTTGGGGACCCAGAATATCTTTCACCCTGGAAACCACTGTGCCCTGTGGTCCCTTACTCAAAGAGCTGCTTGCTGGGATGGCTTCTCCCCAGGACAACTGGTGTTGGTTGGTTTGCTGCACATTGGTCCTGTGTCCTTAACCTTCAAGGAGCCTCTTAACAAACACATCTGGAGGGCTCAAGATGATCAGGACCAAATTAACCAGCTGGATTTCACCCACCTTCCAACTTTGGTTCCTTTGGGACCAGGAAAGATTTTGTTGCTGCTGTTTTCTTTTCCAGTTTTGCATTCTCCAACTTCGGTTCCTCTGGAACTGGGAGGTTCTCTTCCTTTTGTTTTCCAGGTGCAAATGGATGCTGACCTGTTGCTGTGCCTCACGTGTTCGCCCACTGACACCCAGCGTCACTCAGTGTCACCCATTGGCACATAACTGCATCCAGCGTCACCCATTGCAACCCAATGGCACCCGGTGTCACCAATGTCCCCCAATGTCTCCCAATGTCCCCCAGTGCCACCTGATGTCACCCTATGTCTTCTCAATGTCCCCCAATGTCCCCCATTGTCCCCTTTGTGTCCTTTGATATCACCCAGTGTTACCCTTTGTCACCCAATGCCCCCAATGCTCCCCAGTGTCCTCCCCAGGTGGAAGATCTGACGCTGATGCAGGTGGCAGCGTTGCTGGAGGTGAGGGGACATGGGGGGACATGGCAGGACATGGGGAGAAGTGGGGGGGACATTATGCAGGGGGACACCATGAGGGGACGTGGGGGGACATGGGGGAACGTGTGGGCATGGGTGGGCACTATGGGGGGACATAGGGGGCAAGGGGAGATGGGGGTGACAAGGGGTGACATCATGGAGGGGCAGGGGGGGACGTGGGGGAAGGTGTGGGGGTGATGTGGGGGTGACATGGGAGGGGGCACTATGGGGGTGACATGGAGGGGACAGGGAGGGATGTGGGGAGGATGTGGGGATATTGGAAGTGACATGGGGGGGACATCAGGTGATGGGGGCATGGGGGACTTGGGGAGGTGGACACTATGGAGGGACATGGGGGGATGTGGGGGGAACACAGAAGGGCTACAGGGGGCTATGGGGGGTTGTAGTGTTGGAAATATCTCGATAATTTCTCAGGATGGTGCCTGTGATAAAGCAGATCTTGTTCACAATTGCGATGTTGGCCTTCTGCGCGCAGGAGCAGCCCTGCACCTTTGTGCCCTGCACTCAGCGCTCAGCCCTTCCTGCCCTGGCTCCTCCCTGCTGGGCACTGCAGGCTCACAACCTTCACTGATCATCCGAACGCCAGATAAACGTAAACCTCCAATTAATTAATTGACTTCTGCCCATTGCTCCACACCTGGCCGTTGTATTCGCCCGTCCTCCCGTGCGCACAGATCAGCGCTGAAGGAGGACGGAGGGGAGGACAGGGTCGGGGGGTGAGAGAGGATGGGAGGAAGACACTGGGGAGATGACACAAAGGAGACAGGGGAGGGGACAAGTGGGGGTGACATGGGGGGGGTACATGGAGGTGACACTGTGGGGTGATATGGGGGGGTGACACATTGGGGGGTGACATTGTGGGGTGGCGCTATGGAGGACGTGGAGGGGTGACAAGGGGAGGTGACACAGGGGAGTGACGTGGGGGTGACACTATGGGGGGGGACATTATAGGGGGGCATGCAGGTGACATGGGTGGGGACATGAGGGGGTGACAGGGAGGGTGGCGCTATGGGGGATGGTGCCACTCTGGGGGTGCCACTATGGGGGTTGGCATTCTGGGGGTGGCACTATGGGGAATGGTGACAATATGGGGGATGGTGGCACTATAGGAGGTGGCATTTTGGGGGGGGTGGCACTATTCTTATGGTGTCCCCCCCTTTCTACCCCCCGTTCTTTCAGGCCAACGTCACCACAGCTGTTGGAATGCCTGACCCCAAATAAAGGCCCCCAGTGCAACCAGCCACAGCCCCGTAGTTTTCTTTCTGGGGTGGGGGATTGGCAGGGGGTGGGGAGATGACATTGCCACGTCTATGGGGTGCGATGGGGTTCTCTAGGGTTCTATGGGGTCTCTATGGGGCTCTGTGAAATTCTATGGGGTTCTATGGGGCTGTGGGGCTCTATTAGGCTCTATATGGGTCTTTATGGGGAACTGTGAGAGAAAGTGAGGGCCCAGCAGGTTAGCTAGGTAAGGGAGGGGACAACCACTAAGGAAGCTAAGCGAAAAACATCTGCTGAAGTGAGGAAAGTGAGGTAGGAAAGTGAGCAGCAGCTTAGCTGGGAAAGTGAGGAGCCAGCAGCTCAAGTAGGTAAGTGAGGAAACAGCAGCTCAGGTAGGTGAGTGAGGGGCAAGCAGGTAAAATAGGTAATTTCAGGGACAAGCAGCTCAGGTTGGTAAAGGAAGGGACAGCAACTCAGGTAAGAAAAGCAGGCAAGGGAATTGTAGGTTATGGCAAGGGGGGAGGTGAGGGTAAGGGAGAAAAGGGAGAAAAGAAAAGAATGGGGAGGGTAGTGAGGGATTAAAAGGGGTTTAAGAGATACCCATGATTAAGAAAAGAAAAAAAAGAAAAAAGAAAAAAAAAAAAAGAAAAAAAGAAAAAAAGAAAAAAAAGAAAAAAAGAAAAAAAAGAAAAATAGAAAACGAAAAACAAGATGAAAAAAGAGAAAAAAAAGATGGAAAAAAGATGAAAAAATAAAAAAGACAAAAAAAAGAAAAATGAAATTTAAAAAAAAAGTGAAATGAATTTAAAAAAAAAACAACAAGAATACAAGGAAAAAGAGAAAAAGTTAAAAGAACAAAATCAAAAAAAGAGCAGAAAAAAAGAAGAAAAAAAGAGAGATGAAGAGAAAAGAAGAAAAAAGACAAGTAAAAAGTAAAGAATAGAGGTTGAGAAAAGACTGGATGGCAACAAATGTGCTCCATGAGAGCACAGCATCTGTCGCTCCTCGAATCTCCCGTTGCCTCTTCAGAGAGGGTTTTCCTTTCTACCCTTGTCCTCACAGAATGCAGAAGTGGAGCCACGGAGAACCACACTACAACGAATTGTTGCTCGAAATAAAGGCATGGACACCATTCAGAGCCAGGCGTAGTGCCAGTGTGCCACCATTAAACCCAGCAGAGATCTGCCACCACCATTAAACCCAGCAGAGCTGTGCCATGTGCCACCATTAAACCCAGCAGAGCTGTGCAATGTGCCACCATTAAACCCAGCAGAGCTGTGCAATGTGTCACCATTAAACCCAGCAGAGCTGTGCCAAATGTGCCAATGTGTAAGCATAAAACCCTGCAGTGCTTTGCCACTGTGCCACCATTAAGCTCAGAACTGTGCCACCATAAAGTCCATCAGTGCTGTGCCACCCTTAAAACCAGCAGAGCTGTGCCACCATTAAAACCTGGACTGCTGTGCCACAATTAAACAAGGCAGAGCTGTGCAATGTGTCACCATCAATCCCAGCAGAGCTGTGACACCATTAAACCCAACACAGCTGTGCCAGTGTTACACAATTAAACCCGGCAGAGCTGTGTCACCATTAAACTCAGCAGAGCTGTTTCACCATTAAACTCCGCATTCCTGGATTCAATGCTGCAGCATTGGCATACCTCTGCTGGGCTAAAAAGTGCCACATTGGCCCCGCTTTGCTGGGTTTAATGGTGACACATTGAACAGTTATGCTGGGCTAAAAAGTGGCACACTGGCACAGCTCTGCTGGATATAATGGTGGCACATTGTACAGCTCTGTGACCACTCTGAGGCCTTCCTGGTTTCTACTGGGCTGCACTAAAGTCATCTTTACTTCTCTTAAGTTACTTTACTTAAATTCACCCCACTGGGGACCATGGTGTTGGTCTCCTAAAATTTGGATCTGGGAGGTGACCACTCCTTTGCCTATGATGAAAGCACAGCGGTGATGCAGGCACTCGCTGAGGTCACAGTGGTTGCCGGGCTGGGAGCGTTTGTGCCCCAGCTGGGAGCAGAGCTGGTGCTCTAGTGAGCATGGTGCACACGGAGACTGAGCTCTGTGCTTTTCTGGAGAGATCCTCCTTTAGAGCCCACTGGGAGCAGCGCTGCGGCGTGTGCGTCAGCTGGGCACAGCTCCGGCTGAGCAGGCTGACCAGGTGAGCTGGGGTTGGTGCTGGTGGTTGCCAGGGGGTATCTCAGCAGAAAAGCTGGGCTGGGGAGGAGTTCCCAGGTCAAACGGTGCCCTTCTGAATGGCTGTATCCAGGGAAAATGGGTTCTTGTTCGGATTCCATCCCACGGATGGAATGAGGATTTCAATGAGGATGATGAAATGGCATCCCTCCTCTGGAAAATTGCTGCCAGGCCCCTACCTTCATGTCAGACCTTAAAAAGGAAGCAGAGCGTAGACTTCATAGGGTGCAACTTGTGCCTCTCTGCTCCGTGGGTTGCTTGGTGTGCCATGCCCAGCAGGTGTTTCAGCAAACCGCGCTGAAGTCACGGCAGAGAGCCAGGTGCTCAGCTGGGGACATGGACGGTCAGCACACGTGTGGGGGAAAAGGGGACCTGGGGGCACTTGCTGACAGAAGCCATGGCAGTCAGACACCAGCTGCAGCTAGGGATGGGCAGGCAGTTCTTGCAGCCAGCTGATTTCCAAGCATTGCCTTCCTCAAGAGACGACATTGCATGGCAGAAGAAAGCTGGGAAAATGCTTCTTCGTCATGATTTTTCACTAATTGATACTTTCTGTAGGTTCTTCTCCAAAAGGAGAACTCGGGAATCCAGGCAGCTGAAGATCGCAGTGCTGCAGGCAATGTCAAGTAAGCATCCGTTTGGAGTGCAGGACGGGGCAGTGAGAAGTGAACTATCAGTTGTCTTTGGGCTGTCAAAGTAGCATCTTTCTGTTTTCTGGGGGGACATGGGCTTACTGGACAATACTTGTGCTGTCTGCTGGTGTCTGTGACATCAACACACGATCTGTTCTTGTAGGGACAAAACCTGTGCATCTGTGGAACGGTGCGGGGGAAGGGAGGAAACGGAAAGCCTCCGCAGGTAAGAAGCTCCTGTGAGCTGTGGTGTGGGCACTGCCTCTAAGTAGGGCTGTATGCAGGGCTGTGTGTGATGGAGGAGAGAGGAAAGGACTGCAGTTCTGTGTTGACTGCAGAAATGGCACAGGGCTGCAGCAGCAGAAAGGCAAATTGACAAAACTGCTGCTGAAGACCAGAAGTTTGTGGTTGGCAGTGCTCAAATCTTCCTCCCAAGAGATGCTCTTCATGCCTTTCTTGTCTCCTTTCTGTCAGAAGCTGATGCCAGTGGCCTTCCCCTGAAGCGTAGCCATGTGGAAAGCCAGGAGTGTGGCACAGCACCCAAGAGAGGTACAGCACACAGCAGGCATCTGGGTTTGTGCACCGTCTTTCTAGTTACGCTTTCTGCCTGTCCTTTCCTGGGACTGTTCTCATTGCATATTGCTTTGGGCCTGAATCTCTGGGATTTACAGTTACCTTTCCTATCCTGTTCTATAATGGGAACCCAACGTTCACCCTAGATCCCTTGCTGTGAACATGGTACAGGAGAGCTGGCATTGACTCTTTGGGATTTTTTCTTGCTTTTCCCAGCAGTGGCGAGCAGGTCGGATGTGCCGGAGGACATCATGGACATCCAGGGTTTGCTCTCTTGGATCAATGGTGAGTTTTGGGGCTGCAGAGCTGCAGGTGCATGTTTGCACCGAGTGGGTGTGGGAAGGTTATCATCACCGGTCTGGGGGATGTTCTTGCATTTTCAGACGTGGCAAGAGCTGTTGAGGTCCCCCATGAGAACCCCAGCAGCCCTGCCCCAGGATGCTTCATCACTGAGCTCCCTGACAACCTCCGGGACAGCAGAGAGCTCAGCACACAGGCTGCCTCTGGGACACCCACCGACCCCTTCTGGGGGCTTCCACCATCCCCCGGGTTCTTGCCTGAGCTGCAGTGCGGGCTGTCGGAGCTGCGCCCCGTCGTGCCACCAGTGAGCGCCCGGCTCAGCCCACAGCCGACCATCCTGGCTGTCAGCGCACCTCCCTCAGCGCAAAGCATGCAGCCCACCGAGGAGGTGCAGCAAAGGGAGCCCCAGGTGGTTCAGGCAGAAAAGAAGAACAGGGGCAGCACCAAGCGGGGGGCCAAGCGCCCTGCGCCTGCTGGCACCCCCCAGAATGGGGAGAGCTCCCAGCAGGAGCAGCCCACCAGCAACGCCCCAGCCAAGAAAAGGAAGCTGCTGCCGCAGAGAGAAAGAAGTGAGAAAAGGCCGCAAACACGCGTGCCAAGGGAGGCTGTCTGGGGCTGGTGCAGGAGTCAGCAGCAGCGGGCAAGCGGGCTCAGGCAGCGAGCTGCGCATGCACCTGCATGAATCTATCCAGGCTGTGCACCCGCTGGGGCAGAGGGTGACTGTGGTGGGCCCGGTGCGCCAGCCACCCTCTGTGCGGCCCCAACCCTCAGCCAGCGCTGGCCCTGCTGCCCTCCAGCCCCAAGACAGCAAAACAAACAAGGCAGCGCCGGCACCTCCAGGCAGCATGGCACGAGAGGAGTGCACTGCCAAGAGGATGGCACCGAGCTGCCCGAGCCCATCCCTGCAGAGGAGCTCACCGCTGCGGAGGAACCCACCATCACCACCACCACCACCACCAGCAGCGCTGCACCAACAGCAGCCTCAGCCGCGGCGCCCCATGGACTTTGTGCCCTGCATGGGGCCGCGGGCGGGTGGTGGTGCGGCACCCATAGTGATGGAGGAGTTGCTGCCCATCACAGCCGAGCAGCGGCCCGAGCGGGAGCGCATGAATCCTTATCACTGCACTGTTTGCTGCACGTTACTTACCAAAGTCACCACGAAAGGGTTTTGATTTTCCTGCAGTCAGATTTGCTCTCACGTAACAAGCTTCTATAGCAGAGTCCATCTGACTTTTGAAATTATTTTGTTGAGGTTCAAGACATTCTAGTCTTTATAGTTTATAGTCTTTATAGCACCACCCTTCCCTCCTGCTTATAAGTTCCCATTTAATTACTGGAAGGCCACATCAGGTTTCCCCAGAGCATTCTCTTCTCCAGACTGAACAAGCCCAGCTCTCACTGCTGGCTCTGGTGAAGTTTTTTGTCTGCCAGGACATCAAAGTCCTTCTCAGCAGGGCCACCCTCCATGAGTTCTTCTCCCAGCCTGCACAGATATCTGGGGTTGCCCTGGCCCAGGTGCAACACCCTGCACTTGACCTTGCTGAATCTCATTAGGTTCACGTGCTCCCTCCCAGATGAAGATTTTGAAACGGCTTTGTGAAGAAATGAAAGAACCTTGAGAGCAACAAGAGTTCTTTCAGGCTGGACGTTAGGAAAAACTCCTCCAAAAGAGTGGTTGGGCCCTGGACAGACTGCCCAGGGAGGGACTGCAGTCAGATTCCCTGGAGGTGTTCAGGAAATGTTTAGGTGTGCATATGGGAACTGCTAAGTCAGAGCCTCAACCTCTGATTGATCACCTGAGGCGAGCCATGAGTCAGCCAGAGGAGCACAGGGAAGGCAATTCAGCTGTGCTGCCCTCCTGGACGTATTTAAGAGCTGGCTGCCAGTGGGGAAGCAGCTCCTCTGGAGATTGGCTCTGCTGGAGTTTTGTGAGTGAGCCCTGGGTAAGGGTAAGTCTTCTATTTGTTCTCTTTTTGTTATCATACTCTGCTTTGTCAAACTCTCTTGTTTCTCTCATCATTATAGCATCTTACTAGTCACTGATTATACAGTGTGGCACTGAGGAAGATGAATGATGTGGAACGCGTTTCTTTAGAGTCATTTCAGAAGGGCATTTCACTTAATTGTGAACCAGGTAAGGGGGTGCAGAACGAACAGAGGCAAAACAGAGTGCAGAGAGGGATGTGGAGGAGGGGGGAGCTGAGGAATGCAGCCTCGTCTCTCTCCTGCCCCAGGCACTCGTGCTCATGTATTGGTTCAGACTGTGACTTGGAAAGTCTGCTAAAAGTCACAGTAATGAGCAATGGGGGTGGGCAATGTGATAATAGCTTCGTGGAAACAGTTGGGATAATCGATCCTATTCTACTTGTAATATCAGGATAATCTATGCCAGACCTGGTTTAAGGTCAGAATGCAAAGGGGAGACAGCCATTTCTCTGCTTGTCTTTATACGTTCCCTATAAGTAACCCAGATGAAGTGTCTTGCTCCCAGCTGCACCCAACAACCCCTTCTATTCCCAACAGAAATGATAACGGCGCAAGCCCCTGGCTGGTGGGGGGCTTGCAGCCCTGGCAGCGGCTGGTGGGGGGCTTGCAGCCCTGGCAGCGGCTGGTGGGGGGCTTGCAGCCCTGGCAGCGGCTGGTGGGGGGCTTGCAGCCCTGGCAGCGGCTGGTGGGGGGCTTGCAGCCCTGGCAGCGGCTGGTGGGGGGCTTGCAGCCCTGGCAGCGGCTGGTGGGGGGCTTGCAGCCCTGGCAGCGGCTGGTGGGGGGCTTGCAGCCCTGGCAGCGGCTGGTGGGGGGGCTTGCAGCCCTGGCAGCGGCTGGTGGGGGGCTTGCAGCCCTGGCAGCGGCTGGTGGGGGGCTTGCAGCCCTGGCAGCGGCTGGTGGGGGGCTTGCAGCCCTGGCAGCGGCTGGTGGGGGGCTTGCAGCCCTGGCAGCGGCTGGTGGGGGGCTTGCAGCCCTGGCAGCGGCTGGTGGGGGGCTTGCAGCCCTGGCAGCGGCTGGTGGGGGGCTTGCAGCCCTGGCAGCGGCTGGTGGGGGGCTTGCAGCCCTGGCAGCGGCTGGTGGGGGGCTTGCAGCCCTGGCAGCGGCTGGTGGGGGGCTTGCAGCCCTGGCAGCGGCTGGTGGGGGGCTTGCAGCCCTGGCAGCGGCTGGTGGGGGGGCTTGCAGCCCTGGCAGCGGCTGGTGGGGGGCTTGCAGCCCTGGCAGCGGCTGGTGGGGGGCTTGCAGCCCTGGCAGCGGCTGGTGGGGGGCTTGCAGCCCTGGCAGCGGCTGGTGGGGGGCTTGCAGCCCTGGCAGCGGCTGGTGGGGGGCTTGCAGCCCTGGCAGCGGCTGGTGGGGGGCTTGCAGCCCTGGCAGCGGCTGGTGGGGGGGCTTGCAGCCCTGGCAGCGGCTGGTGGGGGGCTTGCAGCCCTGGCAGCGGCTGGTGGGGGGCTTGCAGCCCTGGCAGCGGCTGGTGGGGGGCTTGCAGCCCTGGCAGCGGCTGGTGGGGGGCTTGCAGCCCTGGCAGCGGCTGGTGGGGGGCTTGCAGCCCTGGCAGCGGCTGGTGGGGGGCTTGCAGCCCTGGCAGCGGCTGGTGGGGGGCTTGCAGCCCTGGCAGCGGCTGGTGGGGGGCTTGCAGCCCTGGCAGCGGCTGGTGGGGGGCTTGCAGCCCTGGCAGCGGCTGGTGGGGGGCTTGCAGCCCTGGCAGCGGCTGGTGGGGGGCTTGCAGCCCTGGCAGCGGCTGGTGGGGGGCTTGCAGCCCTGGCAGCGGCTGGTGGGGGGCTTGCAGCCCTGGCAGCGGCTGGTGGGGGGGCTTGCAGCCCTGGCAGCGGCTGGTGGGGGGCTTGCAGCCCTGGCAGCGGCTGGTGGGGGGCTTGCAGCCCTGGCAGCGGCTGGTGGGGGGCTTGCAGCCCTGGCAGCGGCTGGTGGGGGGCTTGCAGCCCTGGCAGCGGCTGGTGGGGGGCTTGCAGCCCTGGCAGCGGCTGGTGGGGGGGCTTGCAGCCCTGGCAGCGGCTGGTGGGGGGCTTGCAGCCCTGGCAGCGGCTGGTGGGGGGCTTGCAGCCCTGGCAGCGGCTGGTGGGGGGCTTGCAGCCCTGGCAGCGGCTGGTGGGGGGCTTGCAGCCCTGGCAGCGGCTGGTGGGGGGCTTGCAGCCCTGGCAGCGGCTGGTGGGGGGCTTGCAGCCCTGGCAGCGGCTGGTGGGGGGCTTGCAGCCCTGGCAGCGGCTGGTGGGGGGCTTGCAGCCCTGGCAGCGGCTGGTGGGGGGCTTGCAGCCCTGGCAGCGGCTGGTGGGGGGCTTGCAGCCCTGGCAGCGGCTGGTGGGGGGGCTTGCAGCCCTGGCAGCGGCTGGTGGGGGGGCTTGCAGCCCTGGCAGCGGCTGGTGGGGGGCTTGCAGCCCTGGCAGCGGCTGGTGGGGGGCTTGCAGCCCTGGCAGCGGCTGGTGGGGGGCTTGCAGCCCTGGCAGCGGCTGGTGGGGGGCTTGCAGCCCTGGCAGCGGCTGGTGGGGGGCTTGCAGCCCTGGCAGCGGCTGGTGGGGGGCTTGCAGCCCTGGCAGCGGCTGGTGGGGGGCTTGCAGCCCTGGCAGCGGCTGGTGGGGGGGCTTGCAGCCCTGGCAGCGGCTGGTGGGGGGCTTGCAGCCCTGGCAGCGGCTGGTGGGGGGCTTGCAGCCCTGGCAGCGGCTGGTGGGGGCTTGCAGCCCTGGCAGCGGCTGGTGGGGGGCTTGCAGCCCTGGCAGCGGCTGGTGGGGGGCTTGCAGCCCTGGCAGCGGCTGGTGGGGGGCTTGCAGCCCTGGCAGCGGCTGGTGGGGGGCTTGCAGCCCTGGCAGCGGCTGGTGGGGGGCTTGCAGCCCTGGCAGCGGCTGGTGGGGGGCTTGCAGCCCTGGCAGCGGCTGGTGGGGGGCTTGCAGCCCTGGCAGCGGCTGGTGGGGGGCTTGCAGCCCTGGCAGCGGCTGGTGGGGGGGCTTGCAGCCCTGGCAGCGGCTGGTGGGGGGCTTGCAGCCCTGGCAGCGGCTGGTGGGGGGCTTGCAGCCCTGGCAGCGGCTGGTGGGGGGCTTGCAGCCCTGGCAGCGGCTGGTGGGGGGGCTTGCAGCCCTGGCAGCGGCTGGTGGGGGGCTTGCAGCCCTGGCAGCGGCTGGTGGGGGGCTTGCAGCCCTGGCAGCGGCTGGTGGGGGGCTTGCAGCCCTGGCAGCGGCTGGTGGGGGGCTTGCAGCCCTGGCAGCGGCTGGTGGGGGGCTTGCAGCCCTGGCAGCGGCTGGTGGGGGGCTTGCAGCCCTGGCAGCGGCTGGTGGGGGGCTTGCAGCCCTGGCAGCGGCTGGTGGGGGGCTTGCAGCCCTGGCAGCGGCTGGTGGGGGGCTTGCAGCCCTGGCAGCGGCTGGTGGGGGGCTTGCAGCCCTGGCAGCGGCTGGTGGGGGGCTTGCAGCCCTGGCAGCGGCTGGTGGGGGGCTTGCAGCCCTGGCAGCGGCTGGTGGGGGGCTTGCAGCCCTGGCAGCGGCTGGTGGGGGGCTTGCAGCCCTGGCAGCGGCTGGTGGGGGGCTTGCAGCCCTGGCAGCGGCTGGTGGGGGGCTTGCAGCCCTGGCAGCGGCTGGTGGGGGGCTTGCAGCCCTGGCAGCGGCTGGTGGGGGGCTTGCAGCCCTGGCAGCGGCTGGTGGGGGGCTTGCAGCCCTGGCAGCGGCTGGTGGGGGGCTTGCAGCCCTGGCAGCGGCTGGTGGGGGGGCTTGCAGCCCTGGCAGCGGCTGGTGGGGGGCTTGCAGCCCTGGCAGCGGCTGGTGGGGGGCTTGCAGCCCTGGCAGCGGCTGGTGGGGGGCTTGCAGCCCTGGCAGCGGCTGGTGGGGGGCTTGCAGCCCTGGCAGCGGCTGGTGGGGGGCTTGCAGCCCTGGCAGCGGCTGGTGGGGGGCTTGCAGCCCTGGCAGCGGCTGGTGGGGGGCTTGCAGCCCTGGCAGCGGCTGGTGGGGGGCTTGCAGCCCTGGCAGCGGCTGGTGGGGGGCTTGCAGCCCTGGCAGCGGCTGGTGGGGGGCTTGCAGCCCTGGCAGCGGCTGGTGGGGGGCTTGCAGCCCTGGCAGCGGCTGGTGGGGGGCTTGCAGCCCTGGCAGCGGCTGGTGGGGGGCTTGCAGCCCTGGCAGCGGCTGGTGG